AAGAGATTGACTATACAGCTAGAAAAAAACAACGACGGCACCTGGAAATGAATCCTTCATAGAAACAGCTGAGGTGCAGTTAAGGTTGTGTCCATTGGAGAAAGTCCCAAGTCTTGTGGACTATTTCGTGAAGGTTTATGAACTGTGGAACGGTGTGATCTCAAATGATCTCAACTATTCCAGTCTTCAGGCGCAGACGTGCTGTGTCTGCTGGAGCAATCTTCAGCTGGCTCTCCATTTCCTGTCAAAGTTCCAAGACGCAAGTACACTAGAAACATGAAATCTAAATAGAAAACATCTACCAGTAGAGCCGCACAAGGCGGTAGCGGAAAATTCAAAGATAGGAGAGGTTGCTTGGAGTGTAGATGACGGAATGAGGTTGGAGTGTCGATGTTTGATTGAATGGCACTCCACCAGTTGATCCAATTTGTTGTTTATTGTTCTCTCTCTCTCTCTATGTATGTATGTATCTATCTATCTTTCTTTCTTTCTATCTATTTATCTATCTATCGATCTACTGGAAGAATTTAGGGTTAAACAAGAATGAATGTCAGTGGAAAAATTTAAGGTTAACAGAGAATGTCAGTGGAAAAATAGAAGAGAATGTCAGAGAACTGACATTCTATTTTAACCGTAAATTCTTCCTCTGACATTCTTTTATAACCCTATTTTTTTCCACTGACATTTTTTTAAACCCTAAATTCTTCCACTGACATTTTTTTTATTTTTTTCTTCCAATGACACCATAATTCTTCCACATTTCCACTGACATTCTCTTCTATTAACCCTATATTAACCCTAGGGTTAAAAAAAATGTCGATGGAAGAGTTTAGGGTTAAAAAAAACTGTCAGTGGAAGAATTTCAGCCCTAAAGGAAGAGAGCCTATGTGAGTGAATGTCAGAATGCCAGTAGGGTTCAAAGAAGAGAATGTCAGATTCTTCCGCCCTCGGCACTCTCTTCAATTTCTCACGCTGACACTCTACCTTCGGTGCACCATCTGCATTCTGGGTCTTTTGCCTGCCTAAAATTCAAGGCCCAAACCTTGGATGCAAAGTTTGCATTCTGGGTCTTCTGCCTGCGAAAAATTCAAGGCCCAAACCTTGGATGCAAAGTGTGTATTCTGGTGTCTTCTGCCTGCCTAAAATTTAAGGCCCAAACCTTGGGTGCAAAGTTTGCATTCTGCTGCCTGCCTAAAAATTCAAGGCCCAAACCTTGGATGCAAAGTGTGTATTCTGGTGTCTTCTGCCTGCCTAAAATTTAAGGCCCAAACCTTGGGTGCAAAGTTTGCATTCTGGTGTCTTCTGCCTGCCTAAAATTCAAGGCCCAAACCGTGGATGCAAAGTTTTCATTCTGGGTCTTCTGCCTGCCTAAAATCCAAGGCCCAAACCTTGGATGCAAAGTTTGCATTCTGGTGTCTTCTGCCTGCCTAAAATTCAAGGCCCAAACCGTGGATGCAAAGTTTGCATTTTGGGTCTTCTGCCTGCCTAAAATTCAAGGCCCAAACCTTGGATGCAAAGTTTGCATTCTGGGTCTTCTGCCTGCCAAAAATTCAAGGCCCAAACCTTGGATGCAAAGTTTGCATTCTAGGTCTTCTGCCTGCCTAAAATCCAAGGCCCAAACCTTGGATGCAAAGTTTGCATTCTGGTGTCTTCTGCCTGCCTAAAATTCAAGGCCCAAACCTTGGATGCAAAGTGTGTATTCTGGTGTCTTCTGCCTGCCTGAAATTTAAGGCCCAAACCTTGGGTGCAAAGTTTGCATTCTGGGTCTTCGGCCTGCCTAAAAATTCAAGGCCCAAACCTGGGATGCAAAGTTTGAAAGTTTGCATTCTGGGTCTTCTGCCTGCCTAAAATTCAAGGCCCAAACCTTGGATGCAAAGTTTGCATTCTGGGTCTTCTGCCTGCCTAAAATTCAAGGCCCAAACCTTGGATGCAAAGTTTGCATTCTGGGCCTTCTGCCTGCCAAAAGTTCAAGGCCCAAACCTTGGATGCAAAGTTTGCATTCTGGGTCTTCTGCCTGCCTAAAAATCTAAGGCCCAAACCTTGGATGCAAAGTTTGCATTCTGGTGTCTTCTGCCTGCCTAAAATTCAAGGCCCAAACCTTGGATGCAAAGTTTGCATTCTGGGTCTTCTGCCTGCCGAAAAATTCAAGCCCAAACCTTGGATGCAAAGTTTGCATTCTGGGTCTTCTGCCTGCCTAAAACCCAAGGCCCAAACCTTTGATGCCAAGTTTGCATTCTGGGTCTTCTGCCTGCCAAAAAATTCAACCCCAAACCTTGGATGCAAAGTTTGCATTCTGGGTCTTCTGCCTGCCTAAAATCCAAGGCCCAAACCTTGGATCTTCTGCCTGCCTAAAATTCAAGGCCCAAGCCTTGGATGCAAAGTTTGCATTTTGGGTCTTCTGCCTGCCTAAATCCAAGGCCCAAACCTTGGATGCACAGTTTGCATTCTGGGTCTTCTGCCTGCCTAAAAATTCAAGGCCCAAACCTTGGATGCAAAGTTTGCATTCTGGGTCTTCTGCCTGCCTAAAGTCAAGGCCCAAACCTTGGATGCAAAGTTTGCATTCTGGGTCTTCTGCCTGCCTAAAAAACAAGGCCCAAACTTTGGATGCAAAGTTTGCATTCTGGGCCTTCTGCCTGCCTAAACTTCAAGGCACAAACCTTGGATGCAAGTTTGCATTCTGGGTCTTCTGCCTGCCTAAAATCCAAGGCACAAACCTTGGATGCAAAGTTTGCATTCTGGGTCTTCTGCCTGCCTAAAATTTAAGGCCCAAACCTTGGATGCAAAGTTTGCATTCTGGGTCTTCTGCCTGCCTAAAGTCCAGGCCCAAACCTTGGATGGAAAGTTTGCATTCTGGGTCTTCTGCCTGCCCAAAGATCCAAGGCCCAAACCTTGGATGCAAAGTTTGCATTCTGGGCCTTCTGCCTGCCTAAAACCCAAGGCCCAAACCTTGGATGCAAAGTTTGCATTTCCTAAAATCCAAGGCACAAACCTTGGATGCAAAGTTTGCATTCTGGGTCTTCTGCCTGCCTAAAATCCAAGGCCCAAACCTTGGATGTAAAGTTTGCATTCTGGGTCTTCTGCCTGCCTAAAATCCAAGGCCCAAACCTTGGATGCAAAGTTTGCATTCTCGCTCTTCTGCAAGGCCCAAACTTTGGATGCAAAGTTTGCATTTTGGGTCTTCTGCCTGCCTTAAATTCAAGGCCCAAACCTTGGAGGAAAAGTTTACATTCTGGGCCTTCTGCCTGCCTGAAACTCAAGGCCCAAACCTTGGATGCAAAGTTTGCATTTTGGGTCTTCTGCCTGCCTGAAAATTCAAGGCCCAAACCTTGGATGCAAAGTTTGCATTCTGGGTCTTCTGCCTGCTTAAAAATTCAGGCCCAAACCTTGGATGCAAAGTTTGCATTCTGGGTCTTCTGCCTGCCTAAAATCCAAGGCCCAAACCTTGGATGCAAAGTTTGCATCCTGGGTCTTCTGCCTGCCGAAAATCCAAGGCCCAAACCTTGGATGCAAAGTTTGCATTCTGGGTCTTCTGCCTGCCTAAAATCCAAGGCCGTAACCTTGGATGCAAAGTTTGCATTCTGGGTCTTCTGCCTGCCTAAAATTCAAGGCCGAAACCTTGGATGCAAAGTTTGCATTTTGGGTCTTCTGCCTGCCTAAAATTCAAGCCCAAACCTTGGATGCAAAGTTTGCATTCTGGGTCTTCTGCCTGCCTAAAATTCAAGGCCCAAACCTTGGATGCAAAGTTTGCATTCTGGGTCTTCTGCCTGCCTAAAATTCAGGCCCAAACCTTAAACCCAAACCTTGGATGCAAAGTTTGCATTCTGGGTCTTCTGCCTGCCTAAAGATCCAAGGCCCAAACCTTGGATGCAAAGTTTGCATTCTGGGTCTTCTGCCTGCCTAAAATTCAAGGCCCAAACCTTGGATGCAAAGTTTGCATTCTGGGTCTTCTGCCTGCCTAAAATTCAACCCCAAGCCTTGGATGCAATTTTTGCATTTTGGGTCTTCTGCCTGCCAAAAAAATCAAGCCCAAACCGTGGATGCAAAGTTTGCATTCTGGGTCTTCTGCCTGCCTAAAATCCAAGGCCCAAACCTTGGATCTTCTGCGTGCCTAAAATTCAAGGCCCAAGCCTTGGATGCAAAGTTTGCATTTTGGGTCTTCTGCCTGCCTAAAATTCAAGGCCCAAACCTTGGATGCCAAGTTTGCATTCTGGGTCTTCTGCCTGCCTAAAAATTCAAGGCCCAAACCTTGGATAAAAAGTTTGCATTCTGGGTCTTCTGCCTGCCTAAAATCCAAGGCCCAAACCTTGGATGCAAAGTTTGCATTTTGGGTCTTCATGTGTCTTCTGCCTGCCTAAAAATCAAGGCCCAAACCTTAGATGCAAAGTTTGCATTCTGGGTCTTCTGCCTGCCTAAAATCCAAGGCCCAAACCTTGGTCTTCTGCCTACCTACAATCCAAGGCCCAAACCTTGGATGCACAGTTTGCATTCTGGGTCTTCTGCCTGCCTAAAAATTCAAGCCCAAACCTTGGATGCAAAGTTTGCATTCTGGGTCTTCCGCCTGCCTAAAATCCAAGGCCCAAACCTTGGATGCAAAGTTTGCATTCTGGGTCTTCTGCCTGCCTAAAATCCAAGGCCCAAACCTTGGGTGCAAAGTTTGCATTCTGGGTCTTCTGCCTGCCTAAAATCCAAGGCCGAAACCTTGGATGCAAAGTTTGCATTCTGGGTCGTCTGCCTGCCTAAAATTCAAGCCCGAACCTTGGATGCAAAGTTTGCATTCTGGGTCCTCTGCCTGCCCAAAAATTCAAGGCCCAAACCTTGGATGCAAAGTTTGCATTCTTGTCAGGAAACAGACCCTATTCCAGTCACCACCTGCCATGTATAGGCTAGCATGTTGTACATGAGAATTCATTTAAGACTTATGGCCATGACTTTGGCTCAAGCATCAGCGTGATAGGAAAACAAGCTGCTTGCTGCATCTTGGGGCTGTGCGCCCCGCTTTCATGGTAGCGGAGCCTTCGGGCTTAGCACTCTGCGGTTAGACCCGCGGGTGCTGCTGGCTGCGGATTGCCCCGCGCCAGCAGTTGGTTGCGGGTCAGCCCCGCACCAACAAGTGGCTGCGGGCTAGCCCCGCGCGGGCCAAGAAAGAAGGAGGCTCGCCCAACAGGAGCGGGTCGAGACGAGTTATCCCGAACTGGTAGGGGGAGCCAGTTCATCTCGGGAAGCCCCCACTAGGACGGTTGTCGTAGAGGACACAACCGGCCCGAAGCCAAGAGTAAGAAGGACTCCCAGAAAGAGGGTCAGAGAAGAAGGGGGTGTACGAGTGAAACGCCTGGGTGTCACCCTCATCAACCTAAGGGAGCGGGAAGCACCGCCCCTTAGACTCAGGTCAGTTGCAAGGGCCGGGACAGGTGCCAAACTCAGGTCAGCTCCAAGACGGGAACAACATAGAAGGCAGGTTCGTGAGAACTACGCCGAGGGTGCCAAGGCGATCCAAGCAGCAAGAGGAGTCTGGCATCAAAGGAGGTTTGCCCAACGAGTTCAGCTGACAAGGAGCATTCGAGCTCTTACACCAAGAGGCACCGTTGGAGAACAGGTGCGCAGGCAACTTCCTGAGGAGTGCTCGAGTTGTGACGAGCGTACCAAGAAGAACAGACCAGAAGCTGCAAAGTTTGCCAACAAAAGGCTCAAGAGGTTGACCTTTGTCCCTGTCAAGCCTGAGTTGACACCGCTATTGCAGAAGTACCACGTTCCAACGACCAAGAAAGCTAAGAAGAAGGTGGTTGAAGAGGACGACGAGCCGGACACCACCAACCCTGTGAATAAGAAGAAAGATGGACCCCCAGATCAATCAGATGGAGATGGGGACAGCCCAGATTGGGGAGCAGATGACAGCTGTGCTGCAGCAGTTGCAGCAAACTAACAATCTGGTTGGGCAGATGGCCCAAAGAATCACCTCTCAGGAGGAGCAGATCCTGAGAATGCAAGCTGAGAGGGCACGTGCAATCTCCATCAACACAGTTGAGGAGGTGCCCAGGAATTCAAGCGCAAACGCCGCTAGTTCCTCAGGTTTTGGAATTGTGGACACCAGAACCTTGGGGAAGCCAGAAGTATTCAAAGGGGATGCAACAGAGTTCCCCGATTGGTGTTTCATCTTCAGGTCATACATGTCTTGCATCAACGTTGCATACAATGACCTGATGGACCGGGCTGAGAGAAGCCAAACGCCATTGCCCAACAGAGCGCTCTCAGAAACAGAGAGGACACTCTCAGGCCAGCTTTACTTCGTGCTGGTCATGCTGCTGAGGAACCGGGCATTGGACATAGCCTACAACGCTGGAGTGTCAGAGGGCATTGAGGCCTACAGGAGACTCTACCAGCAGTATCACCCCAAGGTGGCGTCAAGGTTCGTGGGGAGTTTGTCCCTCATCTTGGCCACTAAGTTTGGCACAGACATCGAGGCCGAACTCGAGAGCTTCGACAAAACAGTGCGCCGGTACGAGATGGAGTCGGGGAAAACCTTAGATGAAGAAATACTTTTGGGTATAGTAATTCAAGGGGTTCAGGACCAATCAATGAAAGAACATCTCATCAAGAATGCCGCACGTCTCAATACGTATGAAGATGTCAAGACTGAATTGTTGGAGATAGCTAGGACTAACCGTGTCCTGCAGTCCATGCCGGTTGCAATGGAAATTGGTGCAACCCCCAACGCCAAAGGAAAAGGAGGTAAGAAAGGTGGTAAAAAGGGTGATGGAAAGAATTCCAAAGGTGACTCCAAAGGCAAGGGTAAAGGTACCCAACAAGCCCTACAAAATCCAAACAAGGACAAATCCTGTTTCTACTGTGGTAAGCAGGGGCATCTCAAATCAGAATGCAGAAAACGTATCAGTGATGAAAAGAATGCCCAAGGTAAAGGTAGCAGTAAGGGTAAGCCAAAGGCCAAGGCTAACCCCGGGAGCGGTAAGCCCCGCCCCAATGCTGCAAGTCCTGATGATGAACCAGAACCGCTCAGCGCCTACCCTGAGGAGACGCTCATTGCAGCTGCCGTCAACAATGGCACGCAGGAGATTTTGGTGGACACCGGGGCTGGAAGTCACTTGTTTGTAAAAGGGTTTGATAGCCATGCACGTTCAGTTTCAAAAGGGTCAAACGTTGGTATGGTTACGGTTACTGGTCAACCCTTAATCACTGGGGAGTACAAGAAAAGCACCATAAACACAGATGCTGGGAAATTCACGATCGAATACGCAGAGTCTGACAAGATCAACTTCTCAGTGCTCAGTGCTGGCAAGGCGGCACAAAGAGGCACGTGGACTGTGATTGGTCCAGACGCTCAGTTTCTTGTCCCCAGCAAATCCAGTGAATTCATCAAAGCAGCAATTGAGAAGACCCCCAACAAACTTGGGTTGGTAAAGAAAAGGGGCGTTTATTGGTTGCCGGTTTCACTTGAAAAGGGTTCAACTGGTCATGATGACAAGCCCTTAGCAACCATGGTAGATAAAAGCCCTGGAGGGGTAGCGGGTAATGCCGCATCCCAAAGTGCGGGTAGCACCGCCAGCTGTGTGGGAAGCACCACCGGCCAGGAAGTGATGGCAGCCATCAGACCTGCCAAGAAAGCTGTTCCAGCGGAAGAGTTGGAGGAAGAGGCGCGAGAACCGGGTGCAGTTGGGGAAATGGAAGTAGAGGACAGGCAACAGGTTGAACCCCCTCTCCCTGAACTTGGGGAACCGCCTGCAGAACCATCTGAACCAGCAAGGCCAGTAAGAGCCAAGAAAATCCCAGATACGGTCACCAAAGCCGAGTATGACAACCACATGATTACACACCTTCCTTTTAGAAATTGGTGTGAGTTTTGTATGGCTGGAAAAATTCGTGAGGATAGTCACCGTAGAAGAACTCCAGGAGACGACAAGGAAGTCCCCAGAGTTTCAATGGACTATTGCTTTTTGGGCAGAGTTCTTGACAACACCAAGTCTGAAGAGACAACGGTGGCTGAGTTGAAAGAGCCAACAGAAGAAGCAGAAGGAGTCATGCCCGTTTTGGTAGTCACTGACGAAAGAACAGGCTGCGTTTTCAGCAGCGTTGTGCAAAAGGGAGTGAATGATCACGCCGTCAATGTGGTAGTAGAAGCTTTGAAGTTTTGTGGTAGACAGAAAGCCATCCTGCAAACAGATGCCGAACACAGCATCAAAGCACTTGCAGAGGCATCAGCCGTGAAGTATGGCAAAGAGGTGCAACACCAAACTGCGCCACGTGAATCTCACGCGTCCAATGGGGCCGCTGAAAGGGCGGTACTGGAGCTCTCGCGACAGGTGCGCACAAACGTGAACGCACTTGAATCAAGGTACAAGGACTTCAAGCTGAAAGTTTCCAGTGTTTCATACCCGTGGCTTGTACGCCATTCAGCATGGCAATTGACCAGATTCCTGGTGAAGGCAGATGGGAAAACCCCATATGAACGACTCAAAGGTCGCGAATACAAAGGTGAAGTTGTAGAGCCATTTGAAACTGTGCACTACAAACTTGCGCAAGACGCCAAAGGCAAGCTGGACGCTCAGAGCGCCATTGGCATTTGGGTTGGAAAATCCCTGCAATCCGACGAACACTATGTCGGAACAGCAGACGGCATCCGTCGCTGCAGAAGCGCATGGCGCAGGCCAGAAGGGCGACGATGGGAGCTGAAAAGATTCGAGGCTCTCAAAGGCGTTCCGTGGCAACCCAAAGGCGAGCCAACCTTGATGCCAGGAGCCTCAGGCACACCAAGGATTGCAGCGCCAGGAACACCAAGCGGACGCGCCCGAGGAGTGTACATCACAGTGGAACGGCAGATTCGCCATGGATCCACAGAAGGATGCGCAGGCTGTCACAGCTCAGACGACAACCCAAAGCCACACAATGCAACATGCCGAGCAAGATTCGCAAAGATCATCGCCGAAGAGCGAGCGAAGGCACAACAAGGCGAAGGAAGTGCCAGCGCGCAAGTTGAAGACTTGGAAGCGCCAGCGGCCGACAATTCCTCGTCATTGTATCGCGACAAGCGAGAGGCAGCGGGAACCGCCGCGCCTCAGGGAGTTGCGGGAGACTCCGCACTCTCAATCGCACCAAGGATCGCGGGAAGACCCGCATCCTCAGCTGATCCTGCGGGAAGCACCGCGGCTTCAGCAAGTGCCAAAAGACCCACAGAGGGCACACAAGAAGCCCAAAAGAGGCTGAAGGCACCAGATCCAAAGGGAAGCAAACGAGACCCTGAGGTCAGTGTCCAAGAGCTGCAAGACGCAGAAGACATCTCAACATTGCTGCTACAGCAAGACGAAAGCACGCATGCAGAAGAGAAAGGCACTTTGCCTACACTCCATGACGTGCCACTCGCAGCAATTTTTGAGGATTCCCTCCTCGCCGGATACCCAGAGTGGGGAAATGTGACATCAGCTTTCGACGAGAGATCAGGCGAAGCGCTGCCTCTTGAAAAGGTCAAGACCGCTAGGGGCAGAGAGCTAGACAAGATGATCGAGCACAACGTCAAAACTGACATTACGTGGGAGGAGGCCAGACGACGTGGATTGAAGATAGTCCGTAGTCGCTGGGTCGACGGATGGAAAACCATCGACGGAGATCCAAGAGGTGTGAGGTCCAGATGTGTAGCCCAAGAGGTGAACACAGGTCCTAGAGAGGACGTACACTCTGGAACCCCACCGCTGAAAGCTCACAGGATGATTTTGTCCTGTGCGGCAACCAAACGCAAAGGACAACATCAGCACGACAAGCTGATCGGACGTTACGACGTCAGTGTGGCATTCTTCCATGCCACATCCACCGGCAAAATCGCCGTGGTACCGCCGGATGATCTCAACGATCAAAGACACCTATGGTATCTCAACAAGGCAATGAATGGAACTCGCGAAGCGAGTCGCCAATGGTCCGAGTTTGTAGACGGAACTGTGACCAGGAAAGGCGGATTCAGCAATGTGCCAGGAGTCCCCGGAGTGTTTTATCACAAGGAGTGGCAAGTCACAATGAGTTGTCATGGGGACGACTTTCTGGCCGAAGGCCGAGCGGAAGATCTCGACAAATTGGATGAGTTCATGCTGCAACATTTTGAAATCAAAGTGTTGCCGCGAATCGGCAATCCTGAGCACGGAGGTCAGTGCCTGGAAGGAGACCATCTGCGCAGAGCAATCAGGTGGACAAAAGAAGGGTTCACTTGGGAAGCAGATCGCAAATACGTCAAGCTTTTGACAAAAGAGCTTGGGCTGGAAGGAGCAAAGGAGTTGACACTCCGAGCTCAAAACTGACAGGTGCTGGCTGCAGAACCAGCGATAAGCCGCTAGACGCAGCGGAAGCCTCAAGATTCAGACATCTTGCAGGGACAGCTCTTTACTTGAGCTTGGATAGACCTTCTATCCAGTACGCGTTGTCAGAAATCACTGCCGGAATGGCAAAGCCGTGTGAAATCCATATGTTGCGACTCAAAAGACTTGGTCGCTACTTGTTGAAGTTTCCGACGGAGACTTGGCTTTTCGCCTTACAAGAAGAACCTGAAGAGTTCCAGGTTTACACAGATTCTGATTGGGCATCAGATGCAGTCACGCGCAGATCAATGTCCTGCCACATGGAGCGATTTGGTGAGCATCTGCTAGACAGTGGATGCGCCAAACAGTCAACAGTTGCACTTTCATCGAGAAGCAGAGTACTGCTCCTTGACAAGAGGAGTTGCAATCGGACTGCTGACCAAGCACATCTTACAATGTGTAGGGCTCAATCGAGTCAAACAGGTCATGCTGACCGACTCGACAGCAGCGAAAGGCATCGCCCAACGTTCGGGCACAGGAAAGGTCAAACACCTTAGCATCCGTGAGTTATGGTTGCAGGAGAAAGTCCGTGCAAGAGAACTAGCTGTGCGGAAGGAAAGCACAACAACGAACTGGGCTGATTTGGGCACGAAGTCTCTAACAGGCCCAAGAATCAGCGAACTGGTTCAAATTATGCCACTCTGCAGGAGAGGCATTGTTGTAGCATGCCTGCTGTGTATGATGAACTGCGCAGCAGCACAGCCAGAGGATGAAGAGAAGGACTCAAGCATCTTTAGCTTTTTGCTCTATATGTTTGTGGTCCACATCCTTGCACTATACGGGCTGTTTTCAGCCGTGAGAAGAAGGTTCATGAGAGAAGAAGTCTGCGAGAAGATGATTCAAGCAGATGAGATCAGGGCAGACAACAGAACTACGCAGACATCCACTGCGCAGAGCACCGCAAGTTCTTCAACATCCATGCCAGTATCAGGGCATGGAGGGGAACAAAGACAGAATCCAAAAGCAAAACCAAAACCAAAAGCCGGAGCGAGAGAACCACAAGATGACCTTGTGGTCATACTTGGAGGCGGTGTACGGTATCATCGCATGAGCTGCAGAATGGTGAGAGCTTTCCGTGGTAATGTACAGAACTGCCGCAGGTCACTAGCTGTTGAACGTGGCTACACGCCATGTAAACAGTGTGGTGGTTGAAGTGTTTCGCTGAAAGTCAGCCAAATCACTACGTGATTCAGCTGTGGAAGGGTGTCAGGAAACAGACCCTATTCCAGTCACCACATGCCATGTGTAGGCTAGCATGTTGTACATATTCATTTCAACTTATGGCCATGACTTTGGCTCAAGCATCAGCGTGATAGGAAAACAAGCTGCTTGCTGCATCTTGGGGCTGTGCACCCCGCTTTCATTGACTGTATCAAATTTAGCACTACTTGACTGTAATGTTATACCACTGTTAAGTTCAACCTGACTATTTCTTAAATAAAAGAAATCAGCAGTGTTTCTTCTAAATGTAACATCGGCATTACCTATACTATCATAAGTGTTAGATTTCACACCTTTTGTCATCTCTACTGCTTGTAGCGTCCCTTCTATTTTCATATATTCAATCCCGTTTCTCTGTAAAACTATATCACTGTTGCCATTGCTGTTTAGTGTATTTGTGTTAAGAGTTAAGAGTGCCACCTACAACAGCATTACCTGCTACTGTTTGGGATGCTTCACCAGTTAATTTTACGCAGTTAGAAAGGTCAGGTGTTATTGCTGAATTTGTAGGTTGATTGAATTGTATTTCACCATCTGCTAATGTTATGAAATCAACCCCATTTCTTTTTATTACTAAATCTAAATTTGCTATTGTGTCAATCTCTTGGGTTTTAAGATTGGCACCGCATTGTATCAATTTACTTGCTATGATTTTATTTTCAGACACATCGCACTGTAAATAAGTGGCGCTGTTGCTCTGAAAAAGTATATCATTGGTGTTGAGGGTATTGAATGTATTTGTTTGGATATTTGAACCTTTGATATATCCGCTACTGTCTAATGATTGAACTAAATGATTCCCTAATATTTGGTCATCCCCATTCACATAGAAATCCCTATCAGAAGAAACAGCATTTAGAATAATTTTTGAATTTCCTAAAGCGTGTCCTATACGAAGCACTCCTGACATATCCTGTGGATTATCAACATTCAATTTAGTATCTAATAATGTATTTGCTTCTGTTTCGGCATAGTAGTTTGTTAATAGATTATCTACCAGTGTTTTGGTATAATAGGGTATGAATAACCCTTCTGTTTCTGTTTTGGTATAGTAATTGGTTAAGTCGGTCGTGCCTGTTCCTCCTCCACCACCACCAGCAACAGCATCATCTACATATTCTACAGTCGCTAAATTACTGCTTCCTGTTGCTAATAGTTTGATAAATTCAGTTCCTATGAATGATGTTCCACCATCTAATCTTAAAGAAGTCATATATTAATAATTAGATTTCTATACAATCTAAACATTAAATCTATCTTTTTTAGTTTTACTTGAAAACATATTTTGACATAAATTATTGTATTTTTCTTGCTTTTGTTTTATGAATTGTTGTTGGAGGAGTGCGTAATGTTGAGAAAGGGCACTAACTGGATTAATTGGTTGAGTTGGTTGTTTTTTCTTATCAATGGTTGTTGTGGCACTTCTTCTTCATCATCGCTGTAATATATTTCTGGTGGCGGTTTAGGAGTTGGTTTGGGTTTGGGAGTTTGTTTTGCTTTGGGTTTTGCGTGTGGTTTGACTGGTTTCTCAGATAGTTTGCCTTGGCATTTTTGTTCGTGTGAATACTTAAAACTTTTGACTGACATTTCTTTAAAACAACGAGGACAGTTTATTCTGTCCTTTTGTGTTTGTAATTTTTGGTTGTTCTTTCACTTCTTGTTCTTTTGGTGGTTCATTAACTTCTTCAACAACTTCATTAACAACATCAACAACGGTTTCTTTTGCTTCTTCTTCTTCTTCAATTGGTTCAATTGCTGGTGCTTCCTCTTTTGCTTCTTCATTTAAATCAACAACAGATATACTCATACATTATGTTCTATAAAAATTCTTTCATTATTCTATATATTAATTTTGGTGGAACATATATAGAATTATGATTTAGTTTTTATTATTGCTCTTGGTTGTTGCTTTGATTTTGTAGGTATTGTTTATGTTTGTCTGTCTGTTCGTGTCTTTTCTTTCTGATACATGCTACATTGGAACCACAAGCGCACGTATATCTAATCAGTTTTTTTCTTTTCATATCTTTCCTTACTTTGTTTATTATATTCTTCTTTATTCATGGCATAATTTGCTCTACTTTTAGCGTTAGAGTATTCTTTGTTGTTATTATACCAGTTTTGTGCGTTTGCTTTACATTTTTCTAGGTTGTTTTCACGATATGCTTTTGCTACAAGTTTTACATTTTACATGTTCTTTGTGGTCTATCCTCCATTCTTTATCGTTTCTACCTGTTACTCTTTTGTTTATACAATCATTTTCTTTCTGAATGTGATGTGTCCCTCTCTTTTTTCTAACTCGTTTTTACTACCACAAGGGAAGTCTTCTTCCCAAACAATTTTACAGTTTTCTATGCCAAATTCATCAAATAAATCATACACGCTCACATAATGATATTTTCCATTTTTGTATCTATGGTAATTTTCTTTGTGTCTTGTATATCGTTTCTTTATATCTTCACAAGTTGAGCCAATGTAGCACTTTGTAAAGGCAACATCCCATATCTTATAAACCTTTCCATTTTGGTAATTAACCGTCCTAATCTCTATTATCTATACATAATATTCCTTTAAAATCCTTTAACAATTTTTGACTATGAATTTTAGTAATTAGAATGTGAGATTAACAACGCAAACTGGACTGGTATATCATATAAATTCATTACTACGCCATTTGCGTCAGTTATTTTAAAATCCAATTTTCTTAATTTTTTGCCTCCAATATCCACATAGTCCTCTTGATGTGGTGCTGAATTGTCGTTAATCACACCTCCTAATTGAGAACTACAAAGCACCTTCCTTATTATGGCTGATGAATAAGAATTGGGCGCCGAATATCTGTAATCCGTTAAGGCATTGGAAGTTATGAACAAATATCTGAATGGAACAAGGTTGAGATATGAACTCGTCCAAGTTGTTAATGGAGATGTTGGAACAAAATTACTTAATAAATAATTTCTAGAAACTGGATTGCTACTGTCATAGTTTGCCTGTGTTGTATTCCAAGAATTATTCACATAGTTTGCTAATTCTACATCGGTAGGTATTTTAACCTTATAATTTAAACCTTCCTTAATTTTAAATTCTACTGTTCTTGTTGCTTCATCATAAGAATAAACAAAAATTCCACCTGCTGATAAATCTGTTGTATTACTGTTTAACCCCTCATTTATATCAAAACAAAGTTGATAAGCAACATATATATTATTTCCAAGGTAAATTCTGAAATTCTTAACAACAGTATTTGTATTATCAAATATCATTATATACATACAAATACTTATAGAAATTTACTTCGGTTGTTTTCCACACCGCGGGGATTGAAACATCTGAAATATACATTCTTGTTCCTTCGGGTGTTTCTAAATTTTCATTCAACTCGATGCCAAACGATAAGTGCTATCAACAAAAATATTTTTATATGTTAATCTATTACTCATATATTATTATTTCAGATTATATTTTATCAATAATAGTGCAACTCTATTTTTAAACTCTTTTAGAGTTTGAAAAATATAGTTTTAGGATTATTGATTTAGTTTTTCTAAACTAAATCAATAATCGTATCAAATGATAGGATTTATTGGTGGAGTAGCAGCAAGAACCGCTTTAGCACAAGTAGCAAGACAGTTCGGTAGAGAAGCAATGGAAAGGATTATGGCAGGTGAAGCAATAGAAAGTGTCTGGCTGAAAGGTTATTATGTTGTGCAAGAGATTGCAGAAAAGTTGAACCAAAAATATTACAAATTAACTGATTACCCAAGATTGTTGATGAGGCACGAACTTTTAAAGATTTAGTGTTTTTAGAAAGCCTTGTAAGCATTTTTTCCCATACTCACGCCTATTGATGCAACCATGAGATGGTTGATTTGATGTGCTGTTTTCTGGTTTCGGGGGTTTTTGTTTTGTCCTTCATTTGTTTTTCCCCACGAATTTGTGTTTGGCACGTTTGGGTCATTGGCTGGGATTACTCTATGTTCCTTTGTCCTTCCTCGCCTTGGCTTTGTCATCAATCCCTTCTTCATCCTGTTGTCGGGACGCTCAGCTGTTGGGAATATGCCAGTCAGAGGTTTGAAGCCACATGTTCTTGGAGAGCTTGGCTTGACCTTGGAATTTGTTTCAATTTGAGCACCTTTGACATTCTCAATCGGACAGCTACAGCTTTCAGTTTGAGCTTGGAAGTTTGTCATGTTTTTTCAGCATCTTTATGGTCTTCCGTAGCTGTTTTTGCAAGTTTTTATCAAGCCACTCAGGACGCTTTTTAGCTCAGGGGTGTCGGCATTGCCATGGCACTCAAATCCGGTGTATTCGCTTGCCTCATCCTTGCACTGTGCGTAAGCTCCAACAACGTAATGGAACGTCAGCATTCAGACTCGGCTGTTTGGGCCCCTCCAGCCCAGTCTCAGAACCGCAGCAGCACGAAGTGCTGCGCCTATTGCGGGTCTTGCCCTGATTTCTGCGATTGCTGCATTTGCTCTCGTGCGGAAGGGGCCCAGAACAGGAACATTACTGGTACACCTTAATTAGTCAGCTGCCGTGAGTGGGTGAGATCGAGCACGCATGATGATTCACGGCCTTGCTTCGCCAACATGGTGACTGGCAAAACAGTTTTTGCTTCGCCTACAGGGCGACTTACAAAGCAGTGCTTTCTTCGCCACCAGGGCTCGTGGGTCGCTTGTGGCGGTAAAGCGTGTTTATTTTTACTGCCGCAACCCGCCACCAGGGCGACTTGCAAAACAGTGCTTTTAGCAGATGCTTTTATGATTGACAAGGTCTGTAGGTAGCAAGGTTTCAGGGTGTCAAGTAGGAATAGGACATTGCTTCAATAGAGCATTCATGCCAGTGAGCCTTCAAAAGCTTGACATTCTGGCATCAACAAGGCACACCACACAAGTCTTTTTCACTCCATTTCGCCCCAAAAGTTTGGATTGCTGTGCCATTTACATCGCACTGAGGTTAAGAAGACATGGTCATCAACAAGTTCATGAAGGGCGGTTTGGGCATGGTAATTGCGGTAATTAAAGAGATATGTTGAGAAAGATATTGGCTGGGGGCTGAGGCTTCCCCTATAGGGGGAGACTGTGGTAATTAATCCAATAATCTTCATAATAAATGATTATGATAATTATGTTGGCCATCCCCATAAATGTAATAACATAATTCTATTAAATTTATGTTGCAATTATTTTCTAGGACTATTTCTAGCAACTATGATTTCTAGAAATAACACCTATGAAATAGATAAGGTAAGATGATGTATATTTGTATATGCTTTGATGAACATTATTCAATACAATTATGATGATCATATTATATAATTTTTAGGGATGAGATGGATGAGATGGGTTGATATGATGAGGTTGTTATGGTTTATGGTTTTGGTTTTATTAATAGTAGGTTGTTAGGATTTTGTTATTGTTGTTTTGTTGTTATGTTTTTGTTTGTAGTAGGTTGTTTTGATTTTGTTATTGTTGTTATGATTTATGGTATAGAGTATAGACTATTTTATAATCTATTGTATTGCTTATGTTGTTTTGTTTTTTCTTTGTTGTTGTTTGTTGTTATGATTTATGTTATTGTTTTCTATAAGGTGTTGATCCCCTGTCTTTGGTATTAACCCCAAACAATTTGCTTGTATAATAATGTGGGCGGTTAGACGAGAAAGACGGGGGAGCATAATACTAACTGATACACCCCAAGAATTGATGGCAAGGAATCCGAAAAGAGCTATTGGTAGGTTATTTTTGTTCTTAGCTGCATCTCTTTTCTAATTGATTTTATTAACGTTTTAACGATGACACATGATGATATTATTATGTCTAGTTATTATTATACCGTTTCATTCCAATTCTTAATCTTGTTGACTCTCCATGTCTGGCAGGCCCACCATGACCATACAGGTTTGTCCAAACATCGGAAAATACTCCCCAATTACCGTTTCACAAATGGGATTTGGGGGCGTAGTATATATATATATATTATTATTTCAGATTATATTTTATCAATAATAGCGCAACTCTATTTTTAAAACTCTTTTAGAGTTTGAAAAATATAGTTTTAGGATTATTGATTTAGTTTTTCTAAACTAAATCAATAATCGTATCAAATGATAGGATTTATTGGTGGAGTAGCAGCAAGAACCGCTTTAGCACAAGTAGCAAGACAGTTCGGTAGAGAAGCAATGGAAAGGATTATGGCAGGTGAAGCAATAGAAAGTGTCTGGCTGAAAGGTTATTATGTTGTGCAAGAGATTGCAGAAAAGTTGAACCAAAAATATTACAAATTAACTGATTACCCAAGATTGTTGATGAGGCACGAACTTTTAAAGATTTAGTGTTTTTAGAAAGCCTTGTAAGCATTTTTTCCCATACTCACGCCTATTGATGCAACCATGAGATGGTTGATTTGATGTGCTGTTTTCTGGTTTCGGGGGTTTTTGTTTTGTCCTTCATTTGTTTTTCCCCACGAATTTGTGTTTGGCACGTTTGGGTCATTGGCTGGGATTACTCTATGTTCCTTTGTCCTTCCTCGCCTTGGCTTTGTCACCAATCCCTTCTTCATCCTGTTGTCGGGACGCTCAGCTGTTGGGAATATGCCAGTCAGAGGTTTGAAGCCACATGTTCTTGGAGAGCTTGGCTTGACCTTGGAATTTGTTTCAATTTGAGCACCTTTGACATTCTCAATCGGACAGCTACAGCTTTCAGTTTGAGCTTGGAAGTTTGTCATGTTTTTTCAGCATCTTTATGGTCTTCCGTAGCTGTTTTTGCAAGTTTTTATCAAGCCACTCAGGACGCTTTTTAGCTCAGGGGTGTCGGCATTGCCATGGCACTCAAATCCGGTGTATTCGCTTGCCTCATCCTTGCACTGTGCGTAAGCTCCAACAACGTAATGGAACGTCAGCATTCAGACTCGGCTGTTTGGGCCCCTCCAGCCCAGTCTCAGAACCGCAGCAGCACGAAGTGCTGCGCCTATTGCGGGTCTTGCCCTGATTTCTGCGATTGCTGCATTTGCTCTCGTGCGGAAGGGGCCCAGAACAGGAACATTACTGGTACACCTTAATTAGTCAGCTGCCGTGAGTGGGTGAGATCGAGCACGCATGATGATTCACGGCCTTGCTTCGCCAACATGGTGACTGGCAAAACAGTTTTTGCTTCGCCTACAGGGCGACTTACAAAGCAGTGCTTTCTTCGCCACCAGGGCTCGTGGGTCGCTTGTGGCGGTAAAGCGTGTTTATTTTTACTGCCGCAACCCGCCACCAGGGCGACTTGCAAAACAGTGCTTTTAGCAGATGCTTTTATGATTGACAAGGTCTGTAGGTAGCAAGGTTTCAGGGTGTCAAGTAGGAATAGGACATTGCTTCAATAGAGCATTCATGCCAGTGAGCCTTCAAAAGCTTGACATTCTGGCATCAACAAGGCACACCACACAAGTCTTTTTCACTCCATTTCGCCCCAAAAGTTTGGATTGCTGTGCCATTTACATCGCACTGAGGTTAAGAAGACATGGTCATCAACAAGTTCATGAAGGGCGGTTTGGGCATGGTAATTGCGGTAATTAAAGAGATATGTTGAGAAAGATATTGGCTGGGGGCTGAGGCTTCCCCTATAGGGGGAGACTGTGGTAATTAATCCGATAATCTTCATAATAAATGATTATGAAAATTATGTTGGCCATCCCCATAAATGTAATAACATAATTCTATTAAATTTATGTTGCAATTATTTTCTAGGACTATTTCTAGCAACTATGATTTCTAGAAATAACACCTATGAAATAGATAAGGTAAGATGATGTATATTTGTATATGCTTTGATGAACATTATTCAATACAATTATGATGATCATATTATATAATTTTTAGGGATGAGATGGATGAGATGGGTTGATATGATGAGGTTGTTATGGTTTATGGTTTTGGTTTTATTAATAGTAGGTTGTTAGGATTTTGTTATTGTTGTTTTGTTGTTATGTTTTTGTTTGTAGTAGGTTGTTTTGATTTTGTTATTGTTGTTATGATTTATGGTATAGAGTATAGACTATTTTATAATCTATTGTATTGCTTATGTTGTTTTGTTTTTTCTTTGTTGTTGTTTGTTGTTATGATTTATGTTATTGTTTTCTATAAGGTGTTGATCCCCTGTCTTTGGTATTAACCCCAAACAATTTGCTTGTATAATAATGTGGGCGGTTAGACGAGAAAGACGGGGGAGCATAATACTAACTGATACACCCTAAGAATTGATGGCAAGGAATCCGAAAAGAGCTATTGGTAGGTTATTTTTGTTCTTAGCTGCATCTCTTTTCTAATTGTTTTTATTAATGTTTTAACGATGACACATGATGATATTATTATGTCTAGTTATTATTATACCGTTTCATTCCAATTCTTAATCTTGTTGACTCTCCATGTCTGGCAGGCCCACCATGACCATACAGGTTTGTCCAAACATCGGAAAATACTCCCCAATTACCGTTTCACAAATGGGATTTGGGGGCGTAGTGTATATATATATATATATATTTGAGACAACCTCATACTTGGGGGTGCAGTTGTGGAATGAAAAAAACACAGAGTTTGTAGGGGCCCCATATCCCAACTTATGGAGGTTAGTACCATAGTTATACCCATTGATAACCCCTAACTGCACCCAATGGGCAGCGCAGGTCATGCTGTGGCCTTGCCGCCAACCCCTGCAACGCCTGAAGAGGAAACGGCTCAGAGTTGCCCGGTGCTGCAAGTTCTGGTGGCTATCGGTCAGGGAAATGTGGTCCCAATGGATCTTTTCTTGATGAAACAACCATTCAATTTTGGGTTCAAGAATTTATTGCTTAGACTCATGCCATGGTCTTTCCTTTTTTTGAAGCTTAAGGGACCCCCTTTCCTCACGTCGGCGGGTGCATGTTTTTGTCTTGGAAAAACAACCACTGGGCCCCTTGAGAAACATCGAGGGGGGCTGACTCATTGAAATCACAGTTAGATAGGTGAAAAGCTATGCTCAGTCCACGTGCCCATAGACCATTTTTCTGGGTTTTTCCAACATGGGGGCACATAATGGGGATATCATGGAATATCCATAAAATTGCAATGTGCATCCGAAAACTACACGAAACATCGCGAAACATATCAAATGGGATAAACTTTGAGAACAAGAAACACATTAAAACACCAAAAAGCATGGACATCCCTCAATGACAATACATTAGAATTGGACATGTCCAGTGACACATTCCAGCGACTCCCGATTTTCACCATGCGCCATGTCGACCCTAGGCACTGAGACGTCAAAGTCTGCCTCAAATGATCCCAAGGCGCTGGAGATAGGATGGATGTGATATGGAGGTTTCCATGGGGAAATCCCATCCAGCTCTGAGTGGATGGTTTATTTCCATGGGAAAATCCATGAAAATCCTAGTAATTTTAGTGGATTTTATTACTGGGGGTTTCTTCACCCATGACGGATCGGAAACCTGCAAAAATGGCACGGATCGGATCCTTCCCCCTCCGCTCAACGTTGAGACCTTCCCAGCGAGTTCGGAAGCTCCATGTAGAAACCGGGCCTTTCCTTCCTTGCCATGCTGGATGAAAACGGAAAGTATCACATATATAGCATGGATATGTAATGATATTAGCATCCATCACTATTTAGGTGTGTTTTCGACCACACCGAGATATAAGATGGATGAACAGTTATAAACCCAATATGATGAACCGTGATAAATCCAATATGCTCGTTCACTTACATGTTTTGTTTTTTACCCCTCTAATCAGGAAAGAATAACCTAGATTGAGCAATGTTGGAAAGATTTTGGCGAGCAGAGCACGCTAGGAAGTTTCAGGTTTAGCAAAATCCACACAGGATAACATGCCGAGTTGTTGGTATCATGTGGATGATTGCTCCCTGCAACTAGATACAATCCGTGCATGTAAATGCTCCGAAAACTAGGGGCCTGGTAGGACTGTTTTGGACAACGACTCACCAGGTCTTTCTCAAATCCAATGATCTCAAGATTGGTGTGATGAACGATGGAAGTCTCTTGGTGATGCAGTAAACCGACTGCGAAAAAAGAGGACGTTTGCACGGGATGTTTTGGACATTTTGGTGATACATGGATGATATATGATAATATTTTATCAATTTTTATCATATTTCATATTCAGAGGAGAATCAAATCATTTGTGGGGTATCCAAGATTTTCAAAGGTTGGTTACGCAAAAAACATTGAGGGAGACCAACAGAGCATCTGACTGTATGTTGTTCCGCTTGTGCAAGCTTGACTGTAATGTTATACCACTGTTAAGTTCAACCTAACTATTTCTTAAATAAAAGAAATCAGCAGTGTTTCTTCTAAATGTAACATCGGCATTACCTATACTATCATAAGTGTTAGATTTCACACCTTTTGTCATCTCTACTGCCTGTAGCGTCCCTTCTAATTTCATATATTCAATCCCGTTTCTCTGTAAAACTATATCACTGTTGCCATTGCTGTTTAGTGTATTTGTGTTAAGAGTGCCACCTACAACAACATTACCTGCTACTGTTTGGGATGCTTCACCAGTTAATTTTACGCAGTTAGAAAGGTCAGGTGTTATTGCTGAATTTGTAGGTTGATTGAATTGTATTTCACCATCTGCTAATGTTATGAAATCAACCCCATTTCTTTTTATTACTAAATCTAAATTTGCTATTGTGTCTATCTCTTGGGTTTTAAGATTGGCACCGCATTGTATCAATTTACTTGCTATGATTTTATTTTCAGACACATCACACTGTAAATAAGTGGCGCTGTTGGTCTGAAAACGTATATCATTGGTGTTGAGGGTATTGAATGTATTTGTTTGGATATTTGAACCTTTGATATATCCGCTACTGTCTAATGATTGAACTAAATGATTTCCTAATATTTGGGCATCCCCATTCACATAGAAATCCCTATCAGAAGAAACAGCATTTAGAATAATTTTTGAATTTCCTAAAGCGTGTCCTATACGAAGCACTCCTAACATATCCTGTGGATTATCAACATTCAATTTAGTATCTAATAATGTATTTGCTTCTGTTTCGGCATAGTAGTTTGTTAATAGATTATCTACCAGTGTTTTGGTATAATAGGGTATGAATAACCCTTCTGTTTCCGTTTTGGTATAGTAATTGGTTAAGTCGGTCGTGCCTGTTCCTCCTCCACCACCACCAGCAACAGCATCATCTACATATTCTACAGTCGCTAAATTACTGCTTCCTGTTGCTAATAGTTTGATAAATTCAGTTCCTATGAATGATGTTCCACCATCTAATCTTAGAGAAGTTATATATTAATAATTGGATTTTTATAATCTAAATATTTAATCTATCTTTTTTTAGTTTTACTTGAAAACATATTTTGACATAAATTATTGTATTTTTCTTGCTTTTGTTTTATGAATTGTTGTTGGAGGAGTGCGTAATGTTGAGAAAGGGCACTAACTGGATTAATTGGTTGAGTTGGTTGTTTTTTTCTTATCATTGGTTGTTGTGGCACTTCTTCTTCATCATCGCTGTAATATATTTCTGGTGGCGGTTTAGGAGTTGGTTTGGGTTTGGGAGTTTGTTTTGCTTTGGGTTTTGCGTGTGGTTTGACTGGTTTCTCAGATAGTTTGCCTTGGCATTTTTGTTCGTGTGAATACTTATAACTTTTGACTGACATTTCTTTAAAACAACGAGGACAGTTTATTCTGTCCTTTTGTGTTTGTCTTTTTGGTTGTTCTTTCACTTCTTCTTTTGGTTGTTCTTTTGGTGGTTCATTAACTTCTTCAACAACTTCATTAACAACATCAACAACGGTCTCTTTTGCTTCTTCTTCTTCTTCTTCAATTGGTTCAATTGCTGGTGCTTCCTCTTTTGCTTCTTCATTTAAATCAACAACAGATATACTCATATATTATGTTCTATAAAAAATCTTTCATCATTCTATATATTAATTTTGGTGGAACATATATAGAATTATGATTTAGTTTTTATTATTGCTCTTGGTTGTTGCTTTGATTTTGTAGGTATTGTTTATGTTTGTCTGTCTGTTCGTGTCTTTTCTTTCTGATACATGCTACATTGGAACCACAAGCACACGTATATCCAATCAGTTTTTTCCTTTTCATATCTTTCCTGACTTTGTTTATTATATTCTTCTTTATTCATGGCATAATTTGCTCTACTTTTAGCGTTAGAGTATTCTTTGTTGTTATTATACCAGTTTTGTGCGTTTGCTTTACATTTTTCTAGGTTGTTTTCACGATATGCTTTTGCTACAAGTTTTACATGTTCTTTGTGGTCTATCCTCCATTCTTTATCACTTCTACCTGCTACTCTTTTGTTTATACAATCATTTTCTTTCTGAATGTGTCCCTCTCTTTTTTCTAACTCTTTTTTACTACCACAAGGGAAGTCTTCTTCCCAAACAATTTTACAGTTTTCTATGCCAAATTCATCAAATAAATCATACACGCTCACAGAATGATATTTTCCATTTTTGTATCTATGGTAATTTTCTCTGTGTCTTGTATATCGTTTCTTTATATCTTCACAAGTTGAGCCAATGTAGCACTTTGTAAAGGCAACATCCCATATCTTATAAACCTTTCCATTTTGGTAATTAACCATCCTCATATCTATTATCTATACATAATATTCCTTTAAAATCCTTTAACAATTTTTGACTATGACTTTTAGTAATTAGAATGTGAGATTAACAACGCAAACTGGACTGGTATATCATATAAATTCATTACTACGCCATTTGCGTCAGTTATTTTAAAATCCAACTTTCTTAATTTTTTGCCTCCAATATCCACATAGTCCTCTTGATGTGGTGCTGAATTGTCGTTAATCACACCTCCTAATTGAGAACTACAAAGCACCTTCCTTATTATGGCTGATGAATAAGAATTGGGCGCCGAATATCTGTAATCCGTTAAGGCATTGGAGGTTATGAATAAATATCTGAATGGAACAAGGTTGAGATATGAACTCGTCCAAGTTGTTAATGGAGATGTTGGAACAAAATTACTTAATAAATAATTTCTAGAAACTGGATTGCTACTGTCATAGTTTGCCTGTGTTGTATTCCAAGAATTATTCACATAGTTTGCTAATTCTACATCGGTAGGTATTTTAACCTTATAATTTAAACCTTCCTTAATTTTAAATTCTACTGTTCTTGCTGCTTCATCATAAGAATAAACAAAAATTCCACCTGCTGATAAATCTGTTGTATTACTGTTTAACCCCTCATTTATATCAAAACAAAGTTGAGAAGCAACATATATCTTATTTCCAAGGTAAATTCTGAAATTCTTAACAACAGTATTTGTATTATCAAATATCATTATATACATACAAATACTCATAGAAATTTACTTCTGTTGTTTTCCACACCGCGAGGATTGAAACATCTGTAATATACATTCTTGTTCCTTCGGGTGTTTCTAAATTTTCATTCAACTCGATGCCAAACGATAAGTGCTATCAACAAAAATATTTTTATATGTTAATCTATTACTCATATATTATTATTTCAGATTATATTTTATCAATAATAGTGCAACTCTATTTTTCAAACTCTTTTAGAGTTTGAAAAATATAGTTTTAGGATTATTGATTTAGTTTTTCTAAACTAAATCAATAATCGTATCAAATGATAGGATTTATTGGTCGAGTAGCAGCAAGAACCGCTTTAGCACAAGTAGCAAGACAGTTCGGTAGAGAAGCAATGGAAAGGATTATGGCAGGTGAAGCAATAGAAAGTGTCTGGCTGAAAGGTTATTATGATGTGCAAGAGATTGCAGAAAAATTGAACCAAAAATATTACAAATTAACTGATTACCCAAGATTGTTGATGAGGCATGAACTTTTAAAGATTTAGTGTTTTTAGAAAGCCTTGTAAGCATTTTTTCCCCTTCCTCACGCCTATTGATGCAACCATGAGATGGTTGATTTGATGTGCTGTTTTCTGGTTTCGGGGGTTTTTGTTTTGTCCTTCATTTGTTTTTCCCCACGAATTTGTGTTTGGCACGTTTGGGTCATTGGCTGGGATTACTCTATGTTCCTTTGTCCTTCCTCGCCTTGGCTTTGTCATCAATCCCTTCTTCATCCTGTTGTCGGGACGCTCAGCTGTTGGGAATATGCCAGTCAGAGGTTTGAAGCCACATGTTCTTGGAGAGCTTGGCTTGACCTTGGAATTTGTTTCAATTTGAGCACCTTTGACATTCTCAATTGGACAGCTACAGAAATTAGCTCTTTCAGTTTGAGCTTGGAAGTTTGTCATGTTTTTTCAGCATCTTTATGGTCTTCCGTAGCTGTTTTTGCAAGTTTTTATCAAGCCACTCAGGACGCTTTTTAGCTCAGGGGTGTCGGCATTGCCATGGCACTCAAATCCGGTGTATTCGCTTGCCTCATCCTTGCACTGTGCGTAAGCTCCAACAACGGAATGGAACGTCAGCATTCAGACTCGGCTGTTTGGGCCCCTCCAGCCCAGTCTCAGAACCGCAGCAGCACGACTGATTCGCAGTGCTGCCCCTATTGCGGGCCTTGCCCTGAAAAATGCTATTGCTGCATTTGCTCTGGTGCGGAAGGGGCCCAGAACAGGAACATTACTGATACACGTTAATTAGTTAGCCGCCGTGAGTGGGTGAGATCGAGCACGCATGATGATTCACGGCCTTGCTTCGCCAACATGGTGGTGACTGGCAAAACAGTTTTTGCTTCACCTACAGGGCGACTTACAAAGCAGTGCTTTCTTCGCCACCAGGGCTCGTGGGTCGCTTGTGGCGGTAAAGCGTGTTTATTTTTACTGCCGCAACCCGCCACCAGGGCGACTTGCAAAACAGTGCTCTTAGCAGATGCTTTTATGATTGACAAGGTCTGTAGGTAGCAAGGTTTCAGGGTGTCAAGTAGGAATAGGACATTGCTTCAATAGAGCATTCATGCCAGTGAGCCTTCAAAAGCTTGACATTCTGGCATCAACAAGGCACACCACACAAGTCTTTTTCACTCCATTTCGCCCCAAAAGTTTGGATTGCTGTGCCATTTACATCGCACTGAGGTTAAGAAGACATGGTCATCAACAAGTTCATGAAGGGCGGTTTGGGCATGGTAATTGCGGTAATTAAAGAGATATGTTGAGAAAGATATTGGCTGGGGGCTGAAGCTTCCCCTATAGGGGGAGACTGTGGTAATTAATCCGATAATCTTCATAATAAATGATTATGAAAATTATGTTGGCCATCCCCATAAATGTAATAACATAATTCTATTAAATTTATGTTGCAATTATTTTCTAGGACTATTTCGAGCAACTATGATTTCTAGAAATAACACCTATGAAATAGATAAGGTAAGATGATGTATATTTGTATATGCTTTGATGAACATTATTCAATACAATTATGATGATTATATTATATAATTTTTACGGATGAGACGGATGAGATGGGTTGATATGATGAGGTTGTTATGGTTTATGGTTTTGGTTTTATTATAGTAGGTTGTTAGGATTTTGTTATTGTTGTTTTGTTGTTATGTTTTTGTTTGTAGTAGGTTGTCTTGATTTTGTTATTGTTGTTATGATTTATGGTATAGAGTATAGACTATTTTATAATCTATTGTATTGCTTATGTTGTTTTGTTTTTTCTTTGTTGTTGTTTGTTGTTATGATTTATGTTATTGTTTTCTATAAGGTGTTGCTCCCCTGTCTTTGGTATTAACCCCAAAGAATTTGCTTGTATAATAATGTGGGCGGTTAGACGAGAAAGACGGGGGAGCACAATACTAACTGATACACCCTAAGAATTGATGGCAAGGAATCCGAAAAGAGCTATTGGTAGGTTATTTGTGTTCTTAGCCGCATCTCTTTTCTAATTGATTTTATTAATGTTTTAACGATGACACATGATGATATTATTATGTCTAGTTATTATTATACCGTTTCATTCCAATTCTTAATCTTGTTGACTCTCCATGTCTGGCAGGCCCACCATGACCATACAGGTTTGTCCAAACATCGGAAAATACTCCCCAATTACCGTTTCACAAATGGGATTTGGGGGCGTAGTATATATATATATATATTTGAGACAACCTCATACTTGGGGGTGCAGTTGTGGAATGAAAAAAACACATAGTTTGTAGGGGCCCCATATCCCAACTTATGGAGGTTAGTACCATAGTTATACCCATTGATAACCCCTAACTGCACCCAATGGGCAGCGCAGGTGCTGTGGCCTTGCCGCTAACCCCTGCAACGCCTGAAGAGGAAACGGCTCAGAGTTGCCCGGTGCTGGAAGTTCTGGTGGCTATCGGTCAGGGAAATGTGGTCCCAATGGATCTTTTCTTGATGAAACAACCATTCAATTTTGGGGTTCAAGAATTTATTGCTTAGACTCATGCCATGGTCTTTCCTTTTTTTGAAGCTTAAGGGACCCCCTTTCCTCACGTCGGCGGGTGCATGTTTTGGTCTTGGAAAAACAACCACTGGGCCCCTTGAGAAACATCGAGGGGGGCTGACTCATTGAAATCACAGTTAGATTAGGTGAAAAGCTATGCTCAGTCCACGTGCCCATAGACCATTTTTCTTGGTTTTTCCAACATGGGGGCACATAATGGGGATATCATGGAATATCCATAAAATTGCAATGTGCATCCGAAAACTACACGAAACATCGCGAAACATATCAAATGGGATAAACTTTGAGAACAAGAAACACATTAAAACACCAAAAAACATGGACATCCCTCAATGACAATACATTAGAATTGGACATGTCCAGTGACACATTCCAGCGACTCCCGATTTTCACCATGCGCCATGTCGACCCTAGGCACTGAGACGTCAAAGTCTGCCTCAAATGATCCCAAGGCGCTGGAGATAGGATGGATGTGATATGGAGGTTTCCATGGGGAAATCCCATCCAGCTCTGAGTGGATGGTTTATTTCCATGGGAAAATCCATGAAAATCCTAGTAATTTTAGTGGATTTTATTACTGGGGGTTTCTTCACCCATGACGGATCGGAAACCTGCAAAAATGGCACGGATCGGATCCTTCCCCCTCCGCTCAACGTTGAGACCTTCCCAGCGAGTTCGGAAGCTCCATGTAGAAACCGGGCCTTTCCTTCCTTGCCATGTTGGATGAAAACGGAAAGTATCACATATATAGCATGGATATGTAATGATATTAGCATCCATCACTATTTAGATGTGTTTTCGACCACACCGAGATATAAGATGGATGAACAGTGATAAACCCAATATGATGAACCGTGATAAATCCAATATGCTCGTTCACTTACATGTTTTGTTTTGGACCCCTCTAATCAGGAAAGAATAACCTAGATTGAGCAATGTTGGAAAGATTTTGGCGAGCAGAGCACGCTAGGAAGTTTGAGGTTTAGCAAAATCCACACAGGATAACATGCCGAGTTTTTGGTATCATGTGGATGATTGCTCCCTGCAACTAGATACAATCCGTGCATGTAAATGCTCCGAAAACTAGGGGCCTGGTAGGACTGTTTTGGACAACGACTCACCAGGTCTTTCTCAAATCCAATGATCTCAAGATTGGTGTGATGAACGATGGAAGTCTCTTGGTGATGCAGTAAACCGACTGCGAAAAAAGAGGACGTTTGCACGGGATGTTTTGGACATTTTGGTGATACATGGATGATATATGATAATATTTTATCATATTTCATATTCAGAGGAGAATCAAATCATTTGTGGGGTATCCAAGATTTTCAAAGGTTGGTTACACAAAAAACATTGAGGGAGACCAACAGAGCATCTGACTGTATGTTGTTCCGCTTGTGCAAGCTTGAATGTACTTTGTTTAACGCCGGAACCATGCAGCCAATAGCAGGAATCTTCGTCCTGTTGCATTCCTTCAAACTTATAGACCAGAATAGGAAGAGCGTACTATTTCAAGTCCACGTGCCTCTGGGGGTACCTGATGCCTGGCAGTTGGGGACACAACTCACCGTCGATTTCTCCCATGAACTGATCATGAAATGGCTATGGGTCAATACCTGATACATTTTAGTGGGATGAACATCCAGTCACATCCATAAATCCCAGCTATTTTGATGTTTCACAGAAGGGGGATAGGGTTTTGACCTATCCCCAAATGTATCCATTTTATGTTCCGGATGTACCCAAGCTGGTTATGACGTGACGTTCACAGGGGCCATGGTGAAGCCATGGTGAAGCTCAGGTCTGGATCAGCCTTTCTACTACTCCCAGAGCACCCAAAGATGGACCAAGTTGACCTACGGCCACAAGAAGCTGGACCTCGCGGTCAAGGCCACTATGGCCATGTCCGGTGGTGGATCGGGAAATTTCCCTCGTTCTCCTGGCAGTTTACATACGCATTGCCCATTTGATTGGTTGAATGTTGAGATCTGCAAATTCATTGATGTTGGAAAATCTGCGATGATGGACTCCTAACTCATCGTTCTTTGTTGCCCAAATCGTAATTTTGGCGGGTGAAATCTCAATTTTGACTGGCGAAGTCCCATTTGTTCCGGTGAACTCACCATGTCTCCACCGATTACATAGCGAACGCCATCGCCACCGCATCAGGTCAATGGGGAATTGGCCACCCTTGGAAGTGCCTCGGTGATTTTTGACGCACCAGAACAATCCAAAACATGAAGCTGGTTGGTGGCAGAAACTGAACTGGCAGAATCCAACTCTTTGGGACTTTGTTGGCATTGAAGCGGTTTGTGGATGCCCGAAATCCACGAATTCCTTGGGCCATGGATCCCCGAACGATCGGCGCTAGGTGAAGCCACCATCGACGGCGGCCACGAGTCGACTTCGACGTCTGTTGCCGTGCGCTCGCAGCTCATGGTGGAGGGCGTTTCCAAGGCACGAAATGGTCGAAATGGGAAGATATCAATGGGATGTTGATTTCATGTATGTACCCTCTGGTTATGTCAAAATAGCTATTGAAAATGACCATTGATAGTGGATTTTCCCATTAAAAATGGTGGATCTTTCCATAGCTATGTTAAATTACCAGAGGGTAACATGTCCAATAAAACATGGTTGATTGATGGGGGTTGTTTGATCAATATTGTGGAAGGTGTTTAATTAAATGGTTATACATTGGTTATACTACAATGGTTGTGGGATGTTATGAGTACAGGTTCTAACAAGTAAACCTTGAAATAGCTGTGATCTTCTATGTTCGCAGGCAGGATGCTTCCGTATATCAATTGATCCCATGTGCTAATTTTGTTTTTCTTCATGTTGAGGAAAATGAACGTGCTTTTGTGATGTGTAGAGCGGCGAAAACATCCAATCTGAACAGTTGGCTGTTTTCTTCCAAACAAATGAAGGGATGTTTCAAATCCCGCACTGAACTGAACATCAAGCCTAGGTCTGGGTCCTAGCTCAAAAGCAGTGGCACCACCTACCTTTTTTTTCAGCCATCCGATGTAAACGAGCCAACACTGCATGGAGATTCTCCGGACTCTATGAACCTTTTTGTGAGGTAGTTTGAGCTCCTTCTAAAGCTGCTAGCTAGTTGGAAACACCAGCTAGTTTGGAATGTCCGGCGGCTAGTGAGGTGTTTTTCTCACTTTTGGACACACTAACTTTCTTTTTGTAGCTTGAGCTGCTGCTTGGTTGTCCGTCCCTACTTGTTGTTCAAAACACAGTATGTCTTTGAACGTCTACTGGTCAAAGCGGTTCTATTCACCCACCACAACCTTCACAGTTTGATATGTATAGGTCTATTTGATTTTGGGCAGAACGGCTCAAAAGTATTGACTTAACAAGAATCCGCCAATTTGACAGCATGAAAAAACACAACATATTAAACCAACCCAATACATTCAACCAGCATCAACCAGCGAATTGCCAGCAGAATCATGATAATTCCACTATAGTTCTATCCCCTCAAAGTATCTGATACTCGCAGTTATATCCCAATTCTCACTATGGACTATGTATATATATTATATTACATTATATTATATAATATAATATTATATTATATTAAATTATATATATAATATAATATAATATAATATTATATTTTGAATATTATATTATATTATATTTTATTATATTATATTTTATTATATTATATTATATTTTAATATATTATATTATATTGTATTATATTTATATTATTATATTATATCATATCATATCATATTATATTATATTATATTTTAATATATTATATTATACTATATTATATTTTATTTTATTTATATTATATTATATCATATCATATCATATTATATTATATTTTATTTATATTATATTTTATTATGTTATATTTTATTTTATTATATTTTATTATTATATATTATATACATGATATAATATATTAATGTTATATTATATTATATACATTATATTATATTAATATTATAATATATTATATTATATTATATTATAGTATATTATATTATAGTATATTTTATTATAGTATATTATATTATATTATAGTATATTATATATTATATATATCATTATTGGCAACACATTCTGGCATAGATGGCGCGACCCACAAAAGTAAGGGGGATGGATGTCACGCCCTTTTCGGGTGTCAAAATTCAAAAAGTCGGCGCCATCTATACGCGCACTTTGTAAGAGGGCGGGGCCATCTACTTTGAAAACGGTGTATATAATATATTATATTATTATATTATATTATATTATATATATATTATATATAATATATTATATATAATATATTATATTATATTATATTATATTATATATATCCCCCCAATCAATCCTAATGAACCATAGATCTCTCGGCTTCCATCGTTACGTTCCATGCTAGGGCGAAGTTCTGCGATGCTGGGCTGCAGTTTTTCGATGTCCGACTGGGGATTGTCACAGCTGATATTTTCTAATGACATGATGATATATATATATATATAATGCCAACGCCGGATTAATCCCCCCCCCCCCCCCAGAAGGTCAGAACTCTACCTTGTAGGTCATTTTCTTAAACACCCCTTAATAATAAGCAACTCTGAACCATAAAACTTTGGATATGGCTTACGTCAATTAGATCTTAATAGAATTCCATTGAATTTGTTAAAATCTCATGGATCAGAAAGGTGGTTGATTAATCAGGGGCAAACCGTGGTTATTATTAATGGGGGACATGGGCTCATGGGGGGTACCCTTTGGGAGCTATCCAAACTGATGATTTTTATAAAGATTTTAATTAGAAATCGATCATTTGGGGAATAGTTGTTTTTTGAAATTTTCAATGATCAGTTCAAACCTTAAGTATAACAATGATGATAAAAAAAGGTAAAAACGAATTGGAAATAACTAGAATTGGAAATAAAAATTGCTGGATAAAAAAATGGATTTCAGCAAAGGAGGTTGATTAATCATGCTCTAGCCACACGGTTTATTAATCCTGGGGGACCACCTGTTTTTAAATTGCAAAAAAAAATTGGGCGGAGGAGGTTGATTAATAACGGGGTGTTGATTACTCCTGACTTGGCATTATATATATTGTAATATATGATGTATGATAATAACTAGTTTATGTTGTATGATGTAGTATTATGCATTATGTGAATATACATATTTATGCACCTTATGTACGTATATATTATATATGTATATAAATATATATGATACATCACAGGCATGTGAACATATACATGGATAAAGTGTTTCCAATCACCACACTTGATCTTCTTTGACGTCATGAAGGTTAGCTGGGACCTTCTTTCCCAGCTGGTTGTGAGGTAGCTACGACTTTGTTGGGGATGGCTTGGTCTTGAAAATGACCTTCTCCTTCTCCGCTTTGACGCCCTTGTCTGACGTCAAGGCAAGTTCAAGGGGGGTCTGAAGAACGCAAAAACTAAAAAATGGAACATGTAAGTGCCAGACGCGTTGAACCCCCCTGTGTTGCGCAGGTGCGTTTTCCAATGTTTTGGGTAGTCACAACTGGCTTCGGCGGAAAGATTGGATAATGACCCCCAGCGACAAATGATACGGGGATTGATGCTCTGCTGGCCTTCGAATTTCAGGATCTCTGTGAAGCCCATGTTGCCCCAGGGGTCCAGGAAAGGAGGGCCTTTGGACAGTTGATTTCTTGTTTCCTATGATCGCCTTGCTGAGCTATTGACCATTCCACACAGTTAGAGTTCTATTTTATCTCGGCAGATTTAAACTAATTTCCACCCCCTGAAATTGGGACAACTGCAGGAACCCAGGAACCGGGCATGGATGATACATGATATGTATATATATATAGTTTAATATAATTATTGTATTATATATATATATGTATCATGCATCATCATGTCAAAGCCCCATTTGGCCAGTCAAACGTTGAGTTTGGTTGGTTGCTACAATATACTATAATATCACCGTTTTGCCTTCTCAAATCTCCATTTTCAAATCTCAGTTTTTGCCAGTAAAACCCAAACATATTTTGCCGAGTGAAATCTATATTCTTTGCAGCTGAATTCATGTGTTTTTTCCTTGTCCACGCCGGATTTTTGCTCATGAATCCACTTTAATCCATTTAAATACATACATATATTACAGTATATATGCAATCCCATTACATTGGTCCTAGATCCTCTCTGGCTACTCTCTGGCTATTTGCATATGGAAATCACCATTGACATAACCGGGCCATGATCCTAATGATATCTCATCCCCAAGAGATCGAAAAGTCAAGTCCACTAAAATATCCGAAAAAAATATCTGTCCTTATGGATGTCCAATTGCCCCATTCATGATGAATGTCACATACAAAGAACAAAAACAGTGTGTTTCATGGTGAGATATCCTGATGACTAATTATGATCATCATGAATTATCCTTTCGTTTTGACTCAAATAATCCATTAGGATTTGATCATAGTCCATTATTATTAATTCTAATGTCACATATGATGATACATCATTAGTTATAAGGATATCATGGACTATCATTAATTATACTATACATCATGATACATGATAATATCCTAATGGATTATTATTTTATCATGATACATGATAATATCCTAACAGACTATCATTAATAATACTATATTAATATCATAATATATATATATCCCAATTAATGATAATATCCAAAAAAATGGACTATCCTAATTATTCATGGACTATCCTAATGATACCCTCCAGTAAATTAACATAGACCCTGGCAGTTGTTGGGGTTGGAAGATGAGTTTCCATTAAAAATTGGCTATTTTCAGGGTCCAACTGTTAATTTACCAGAGGGTAATATCCTCATGATTTTGTTATATGGCTATGGATCAATACCTATGAAAATACCATTTTTAGGGGGTTATTCACATCCATAAATCCCAGCTATTTTGATGTGAACAGAAGGGGTACTATTGGTTTTGACACACTGCCATTTTATTAACATGTTGTATTATTATTGTACTTTTTTAACCCCTTTGAAATTAGGGTTTGTTTGGGTTCCCAGCTGGGATTTGTAGATACAAAGTGAACAAATTTTATCATCTACACAAAAATCAAATCCCAATGATGATAGCTATTTTGACATAATCAGACGGTAATATCCTAATGATTTGATCATATCCCAATGATGATCCCCCTGGGATTTTTGTCGAAGCGCTAGGTGTGGCTGGGCACCTCCGATGACTGGATCGGGGAGGATGATCGACCCGCCAAGGAGACAGGTCACTTGGAAAATGATGCCGTAAAAACCATGGGTTTTACCCGGCCTGGTAAACTAACATAACTATGGAAAATGGCCATTTATAGTGGATTTTCCCATGAAAAATGGTGATTTTCCATAGTTATGTAAACGTTTACCATGGGTTTTACCTGGAAAAATAGGGCGCTTTGAATGACCATGAAACATTGAAACATGGTGGGATTTCCATGATGAAAGAAGTTTTTGGATTTAACCATCAAGAGTGGTTCAAGCAGTATTGTTATCTGTATTTCAATAGGGGGTTTAAAGATGGTGATATTTGGCGTTTTTTTCCCAATGGACAAGTCAGTGGGAGGAATCTGGGGCAGATAAGCAAATCGGTGATTCCCAGCCCAGTGATGTGATAGGTTTATGATAGGTTTATGATAGGTTTATGATAGGTTTATGAAACTGGTGATAGGCTTATGACCAAAAATATCCCAAAGATATCACACACATCACTTGCTGCTGAATTCCCAGCCCCGGACTGACATATAGGACAAACCTTTGACGGATTAGAAACGTATGGGACATCAACCACAAGGAATCCAACTATGACGGGGATAGCTTTTCCGGGGAATGTAGCCATCAGTTGGTTACTACGGTAATTATAAAAAAACACTGCAGTATTGATTGGTTGATCTACACATGGTCGAAGATTGGTAATGGTCAATGTACTCTTGATGGATTATGATCGTTGTAACCAGGGAAGATGGGTGATGTTGACATTGGAGCCGTAAGGGGTTCAATAGTTGGTGGTTTTGGTATACGATTATTTGTATAAAATGCCGACAGTCAGGGATCATCATGGCGATTCTCGATTGGTGTACACCGTGGGGCTTGTTGTAAGTGTAAAATACTGCTTGGGAGCAGTGGTGGATAATTAGATGGACATAAATGGGTTACAAGGGGTTGTAGTTACCATTGTAAGGAATCCTTGTTGATTGGCCATTGTAGAACATTCGGGGATGGATACACTCCCAAGATTCACGAAGTTCCAACTTTGGGTGATCAATAAACAGGGCTCTTAGCCTTGAGCCGCTGGTTCTGTGAAACGCTGATACCGGGCTTTCTCGGGTCGCCAGTAGACACAGAAAATACCAAGAGCCATGGGAACACAAACACCAATTCCTGCAGGATAGCAGACGAATCTCGAGGCAGTTGTGCAGTCTTGGGGTGCATATTTCCACTCCACCATCCACCAAGAAAAAAATATATATAATCAAAATTATAATTATATATATAATTATATACATACAATTATATATATATAATTATATACATACAATTATATATATAATTATATACATACAATTATATATATATATAATTATATACATACAATTATATATATATAATTATATATATAATTAAATATATAACTATATATATTATTATATATACATATATACACTATAATTATATACATACATGGTTTCGTGTAGAACATGGGGTATATAACCATGGTATGCCAGGATATCCACGTTTTACACGAAGCTTCACCGGAGGTGATTTTGACCACGGTTTCGTCCCTTCAAAGGGCGGCAAGATCCTACGCGTCCAGTCAGGTCGGGGGGCGGAGCGCATGATGCGCATGCCGAAGTTCTTTGAAAATGAATGAAACTGATGATAGAATGATTTTATGGCAATTTTAAACGGGAAAATATATGAAAATATGATGATAAAGAGGGAACATCTCACATACTGGTACCCGATGGTTGCAATAGATTGGGAAAAGAAGGATGATAAAAGTGGGGTAACAAGGCAGTCTAATCGGAACAATGATGATTTGGGGTATCCTATTTTAAGACCCAGTGTGACTCTGGGCGGGTTACATCTATAGTGTCCAATATTGGAAATCACAGCCAAATACCTGGTCCCTTTATATACCACCAACTTCTCGATTGCTCCTTCGGCCCCACTTGAAACCCACAGGTTGAGGTCGACAGAGCCCCGATCGAACAGGGTCAGGTTAAAATGGCAGTGTTTGCAGTTTTGAATCTGCATCCCTTCATCCTTCATCCGTCCATCGGAAGATGAAGATGATGCCCATGGTCGCTAAGCAACTGCACCAACTTACCGTTCAATCTCATCCCATCCCACGAAAAGCATCCCAGGTCGTCATACACGATCCATTCACCAGATGAATTCCATACACAACTGGGTTACAGCCATGATATGCCATGATTATGACTTGCTACAGTCGAATGCACATCATCCATCCCATCTTCACTCCATTCAAAACAGATCAAAACAGCATCCTCCCCAAAGAACGCGAAAAAAAAATGGTGAAAAAAAAACACCGGCTATATTCAACCAATGAACCATATTTGTTTGTCGATTTACAGGCTACTTCGATGGCTGAAGAGCCCATCCAGTTAACTCAGTTGCCCATGATTTGATGGATATTTGATGGATAGGGCACCAGCTGGGCAACCAATAACAATAAAAAACAACAAATTATCTTATTTTTATTTTTATTGTCTAAAATCTAGTTCTATTATGTTCTAGTATGTTCTATTTATCTTTATTCTTTCTAACTTTATATAACTAACTATATATATATTGTTATATTATCGTCATTTGTTTTTTTCGTTGTTTGTTTATTTTGTCCTCATAATTTCTTATTTTTCTTTCTTTTCTTAGTGTTTCCTATTTCTCTTTTTTGTTTTTCTGGTTTTTCATAGTTTCTTCTATTTTGAAATATGTGTTCATTATTTTTCCTTATGTGTTTTTAGTTGTTTTTATGCATACCTATCTTTATTTTGGTTTTAACATTTTTGGATATGTTTTTGTCATTTTTTGAAGTTCTTTCTTTCCACCTTCGCAGCCTGAGCCCAAATAGTCACCTACCAAATAGTGACCCCCCATTGATGGTAATACACCTCCCCCTTATCAATGTAAGACAGCCTTGGTATCTTCGGAATGGTAAATCCCATCGATATGGGAAATTGTTTCTGCCCCCAAGTTGAGCAATACCCATCTGGTCCGTGTTTTTATATACATAGGTTTTTCACTTCTGTTCCCAAACCCTTTGAGTCACATTGTTCACATACTAGACAAATCTTATCATTCCGTATTTCTCATGTCAAACAATTAAAATCATTTTGACATATTGGTCATATTTTCGGGTGTTTTTTTTTTGGTAAAAACATATACATACCAAGTGTTTTTTCCCCACATCCCTATCTCTTTCCATGGAACTTTATGACTTCCCATCCGCCAGGAAAAGAGGAGGTCTTCGCATTTTCGCCCAATGCCGGTAGCAAGGCCATCATCCTGCAACACTACGGGAACTGGCCACGGGTCTACGCCCGGGAGACCTGGGGGTTTTGCTAGGGAGGCATGGCGAGGGGAAGAATCCCAGTTGTGTGGGGAAAACAATGCCATAAACCATCCCCCAGTCATCACCATAAATAGTTTCTATAAACCATTCCCAAATGGGTGGTTGATGATACTGTTTTACCCACATTAGATGATTTACCAATATTCCGTATTCTTTCCTACCATATTTTTAGAAAGATTGCCGCAGGGTAATGGCTTGTGAACACAGGTGTGTGAGAGAAGTTTGGCAGAATGCGTTTGTTCAGCAAAACCTTTTAAAACATACAAATTCAAGATTCCAAACTAATACACAAATAAGAACACGGCCTTGGCAAAAACGTTGACATTGAAGTCTTTGCTTCAAATAATGTCACCTCGCCATACCTAAAAGAGGAGAAAATCACTGGATACACTCTCTGAAATGTCACATGAAGACAATAATACAATCTTACTTTGCCCTTACTGAGCTACGACCAAGCTTGACCCTGGTGTTGTTATGAGATGTCATGAGTGTCTGGACTTGTCTTTGCATCTGTTGGAATTGAGGGTCTTGAAATGCAGCCTCCAAGTCGATCAAGTTGATCGTTTTGTCAGGATGCTTGCTGATGTACCTTGTGAGCAGTTGTAGCGGGGAGGATCACTTGTTTCTTCGCTACGATCTCTGAAATGTCACATGAAAACAATACAATCTGACTTTGCCCTTACTGAGCTACGACCAAGCTTGACCCTGGTGTTGTCATGAGATGTCATGAGTGTCTGGACTTGTCTTTGCATCTGTTGGAATTGAGGGTCTTGAAATGCAGCCTCCAAGTCGATCAAGTTGATCGTTTTGTCAGGATGCTTGCTGATGTATCTTGTGAGCAGTTGTAGCAGGGAGGATCACTTGTTTCTTCGCTACGATCTCTGAAATGTCACATGAAGACAACAATACAATCTGACTTTGCCCTTACTGAGCTACGACCAAGCTTGACCTTGGTGTTGTTATGAGATGTTATTAGTGTCTGGACTTGTCTTTGCATCTGTTGGAATTGAGGGTCTTGAAATGCAGCCTCCAAGTCGATCAAGTTGATCGTCTTGTCAGGATGCTTGCTGATGTATCTTGTGAGCAGTTGTAGCTGGGAGGATCACTTGTTTCTTCGCTACGATCTCTGAAATGTCACATGAAGACAACAATACAATCTGACTTTGCCCTTACTGAGCTACGACCAAGCTTGAGCCAGGTGTTGTCATGAGTTGTTATGAGTGTCTGGACTTGTCTTTGCATCTGTTGGAATTGAGGGTCTTGAAATGCAGCCTCCAAGTCGATCAAGTTGATCGTCTTGTCAGGATGCTTGCTGATGTATCTTGTGAGCAGTTGTAGCAGGGAGGATCACTTGTTTCTTCGCTACGATCTCTGAAATGTCACATGAAGACAACAATACAATCTGACTTTGCCCTTACTGAGCTACGACCACGCTTGACCCTGGTGTTGTCATGAGATGTTATGAGTGTCTGGACTTGTCTTTGCATCTGTTGGAATTGAGGGTCTTGAAATGCAGCCTCCAAGTCGATCAAGTTGATCGTCTTGTCAGGATGCTTGCTGATGTATCTTGTGAGCAGTTGTAGCAGGGAGGATCACTTGTTTCTTCGCTACGATCTCTGAAATGTCACATGCAGACAACAATACAATCTGACTTTGCCCTTACTGAGCTACGACCAAGCCTGACCCTGGTGTTGTCATGAGATGTTATGAGTGTCTGGACTTGTCTTTGCATCTATTGGAATTGAGGGTCTTGACATGCAGCCTCCAAGTCAATCAAGTTGATCGTTTTGTCAGGATGCTTGCTGATGTATCTTGTGAGCAGTTGTAGCAGGGAGGATCACTTGTTTCTTCGCTACGATCTCTGAAATGTCACATGCAGACAATAATACAATCTGACTTTGCCCTTACTGAGCTACGACCAAGTCTGACCCTGGTGTTGTCATGAGATGTCATGAGTGTCTGGACTTGTGTTTGCATCTATTGGAATTGAGGGTCTTGAAATGCAGCCTCCAAGTCGATCAAGTTGATCGTTTTGTCAGGATGCTTGCTGATGTATCTTGTGAGCAGTTGTAGCAGGGAGGATCACTTGTTTCTTCGCTACGATCTCTGAAATGTCACATGAAGACAACAATACAATCTGACTTTGCCCTTACTGAGCTACGACCAAGCTTGACCTTGGTGTTGTTATGAGATGTTATTAGTGTCTGGACTTGTCTTTGCATCTGTTGGAATTGAGGGTCTTGAAATGCAGCCTCCAAGTCGATCAAGTTGATCGTCTTGTCAGGATGCTTGCTGATGTATCTTGTGAGCAGTTGTAGCAGGGAGGATCACTTGTTTCTTCGCTACGATCTCTGAAATGTCACATGAAGACAACAATACAATCTGACTTTGCCCTTACTGAGCTACGACCAAGCTTGACCTTGGTGTTGTTATGAGAAGTTATTAGTGTCTGGACTTGTCTTTGCATCTGTTGGAATTGAGGGTCTTGAAATGCAGCCTCCAAGTCAATCAAGTTGATCGTCTTGTCAGGATGCTTGCTGATGTATCTTGTGAGCAGTTGTAGCAGGGAGGATCACTTGTTTCTTCGCTACGATCTCTGAAATGTCACATTATGAAGACGACAATACAATCTGACTTTGCCCTTACTGAGCTACGACCAAGCTTAGCCCTGTATTTTCTCAGGATTTTTTTTAAATACAGATACGGCGTATTTACTTTTTCCATGGCATTTTCCAGAGTTTTTCATCATGGACAAATCCACGATCCAAATCATTCTTGATGAACCGTTGTAACCATGGATGTTTCTGCAAAGAATTCTCACTTTGGCTGTACCCTCTGGTAAACTAACATAACTATGGAAAGATCCACCATTTTTAATGGGAAAATCAACTATTTCTATGGCCATTTTCAATAGCTTTTTGTATGTTTACGGTATTTCCCAAGGCTTCCATCACGGACCATTTTCCCCAAGGCCTCAGACCAGTCGGATGTGTCCCGAAGCTCCTCCGACGGGGCCTACGCCATCTATGTGCCGAAACCGAAAAAGGGTCGTTTTGGGGTCGAACCAAGGGGCTGTAAGCCATGGGTGTAAGCACTGAGCACTATGGTTAGTCAGTTAATTTGTATTGGTGAACATAGTTGGTCAGTATATTTCTGTCCAAAAAAAACATTTATCATCGTGACATGGGTATGGTATATAGTCATAGTAAGTGTAGCAAGTATAGTTAGTATAGTTAGATATAGTTAGTATAGTTAGTATAGCTAGTATAGTTAGTATAGCTAGTATAGTTAGTATAGCTAGTATAGTTAGTATAGTTAGTATATTACATATGTTTTGTTGCTGATATATCTGAAATCCTGTGGGCTATAGTTTTGCTTCGTGTCGCTTCCACAGGCACATGTTCTCCCATGTTATCTCCCATATCTCCTATACAAAATCCAATAAGATACACCTGTACATAGCGCATTTACATATCCAGTACATATATTTACAGTTATCCGAGTGCCACTAGCCATATTTCCCCATCAAAAGTTCATAGATCCCCTGTGTTGCCCATACAATTTATGTGTAATATATATATACACGCTATTATAATTATACACACATCTGGCTAAATTGTAACGACCTCACGTCAGCTTCCGTCACTGGAATGATGCTTAGGATTGGGGTACCTCTCCCAAAGTAGCTTTTTATTTCAGGTGAGTGAACTATTCCAATTTAGCCATGTCATTTACATGTCCATGTTTCCTCAAAACCCTGCAGCACGTGTGTTCCCAGCTCCGGTACGGACCATGTCTCACGAGGACCATAGATGTCTGAGGATTAGGTACCCCGAAATCCTTTGGTTGATTGTCACTTTCCTTCTTTTAGGTGATGATTTGGTGGTATACACTATTTTCAGACAAAACCACATATGGCAGTGTGTCAAAACCTTGTACCCCTGGTGAACATCAAAATAGCTGGTAAATGGATGTTCATCCCACTAAAAATGGTATTAATAGGTATTGATCCATAGCCATATCATACTGTTTGATCATATGCCATTATCTCCAGCTAAATCCGATAAAATCCATATCGATGATGGTCAGATCTCCCGTTTTCAGACACACCCATCATATCCTATAGTAATATCAATATCCCCACTATCCAAACAACTTTCACATTGATATGTTTTGTTCTAAAACCCAATTACCATCCTTTTCCCACCAATCTTGTTGGTTATATCCCACTTTTAGTATTTTCACTGGTTCACCTCCCATGAGTATCCCATCCAAAGAACGAAATATCCACAAATATCATATAAATCAACTAAATCATCTTTCATTTTATCCAGATATCCTTCTATTATATATATATATCCAATATATATATATATATATGGTATATTATATTATACATATATATATATATCCAAAATATCATTTGTCATATGTATATAATATATATATATATACATCTGTCATAAACCAGATATCTTCCATCCACAGTATCCTGCAGGTACCGCTGGGCAGCATCGAGGTGGGCCAGACTAAGGAGGCCACCATCTTCTACGCCGCAGCTGGCCTCGAAAAACGCGACTTTTCTCAGCCCTGAAAAATAAGGGAACTTCGCCCAAAATAGGAAATGAACCAGGAAATCCAAGGGAATTTAGCCATCAAACATGATTTAACATGATTTAACATGATTTAACATGATTTAACATGATTTAACCATCAATGGATTGGTTTTAAGGGAAAATCTGCCAAAAAAAGAACATTTTTTTTCCCTTCCAAATGGAGGTCCAGTTGTTCCCTGTAAATCTTCATTTTAAGAAAGTCTGGGAATCAAGACAAGAGATTTACCATCCCCCTTCTCTGACTCTATGTTAGTTAGGTGGATGGCAACCCTCAAAAAAAGGAAGTTAGGCCATCAAACATGTAGACCTCATCCGCGAAAAATTGTGATGTGCATGAAACACATGATTTAACCATCAATGAAATGGGTTTTCCCTAAAGGTAAGGGACCCGAACATAATACTCAACCATCCAATTTGAGTCGAAAAATGGCGGTTATTGATTTGGGGTATCCCAATATTTTCACAAAGAGAAAGGCAAGCCTCGGTTTTTCAGAACGATCCAGGGGAAAATTATGACAGGTGGCATGCCAAACTGGGCCCCGCATTTGTTCCGAAACCGGTTTCCTGTTGTAGCTGGGTCCGTTGTCCGCTTCAAAGTTGGCATTCGGAAAGCCCATGGTTTTTAGGGTACATTGACAAAGGAATTGGTTTTCTGCATTTAAAAACTGCCAGCTTATTCTCGGACAGTGAAATCAGGGTGTCCTTATTCTAACGCTGTTTTGGATGTTTTCAATATCACCTTTCGGTGGTGAACAAGTTGTTGCCCGCAGAACAACGTGTTGCCCGAGGCCCAACCCCTCCTTTGCATAGGGTTTGGTTTTTTGGGGTTCTGGAATTGGTACCTGATATGGGATAAAAAAGGATGGATGCCCCAAAACGAGCAATATTGGTGGTCAACCATGAATGTTGGAGTATCCTGTTTTCAGACAAACCCATGTTCACAGTTTGCAGTTTGTCAAAAAAATGGTTTAACCGGTTTAATTATAATTATAATATATATATTATATTATAATCATGCCTTATGATATCTTATGATATTTGGTAATTGACCCGAATGGCAGGCACATGCCTAGGAGTGCATAGCTCAAGCATCAGACAGTAGACTGACTTCCCAGTAACTCTCCTTGGTCAACACATCCAAAGCAATGACATGCTGTGGATGGAAGAAATCCTGCATCAGTTGATAGGTGGTAAACATCCCATTATTTATAGGGTTTCAACCATCCAAGGAGGTGCAGAATTTCTTCCATCCACAGTATCTATTCAACCCATGTTCTTTTACGGCATTTTAGGCTTGCAGCAAACTTCTCAAACCACAACCACTGGATGTGCATCTCAGTGAGGTCGCTTGCAGCCATCTATGGTGCAACAATATGCAAGAGAGGTTATATGGATTATCTATGTGATTGTCTAAAATAGGGTACCGCAACTCAGACGGTTTATCATCATTTTCCCCATGGCAATGCGTGTTTTTTAATACGATGTAGAACCACCCGTTTTCAGACACACCTTATATATGGCTCAAACAATTGGTCATTCTCGGGGAATTTAAGATAGCTAATGGAAAATGGATGAAAATGACCCATGAAAGTAGATGTTTTAACTCGTGAAGTCCTCTCTACAAAAGAATGCTAGATTTCCATGGATTTCCATTATTTGCTATTATGTAAGTCAATATAAGTCAATTAAGTCCTACCATTTGGATAGTCCTACTATTTAGATGATATTAATAGGACTATTCCAATCATCTATTGGAATAGAAGATTCCAATAATGATAGAATCGAAATTCTTATTAAGCCCTATTGCTTTTTCATTAGATTTCCATGATTTGCTATTAAATCCTACTAACCAACTACTGTTTAGATGATATTTCCTTATTTCAATGGATTGGTTTAAGGGAAAAATTACAGTTTCAACCATGATTTTTACCATTATTTTTATGGGGTTTTCCGGTTAAAATTTCCCCTAAACCAATCCATTGAAGGCCCAGACCTCAGGCCTCGGGCGCGAATCAGCTGGAAAAATTGGCAGTTGTCAGCGAGGAAGCGGATGAAGTGGCAGGCCGCCGGGCCGGTTACCCGGGCCTTCCCTGGGGGATCAATGGGTTCCCTGGGATTTTACCAAACAACGGGGGATTACATAGTGATTTAATGGGATTTAATGGTGGTTTAATTGGATTTAATGGGATTTAATGGGATTTAATGGGAATATACCCTCTGGTAATTTGTTACATAGCTATGGAAAGATCCACCATTTTTAATGGGAAAATCCACTATAAATGGCCATTTTCAATAGCAAACTGTTAGTTTTACCAGAGGGTACCATCCATGGATTTTTCATGGTTGTGAAAAACGGTAATCGTGATCCATTTAAATGATCCATAAATGGGTAACATTTACAAAGCACTATGGTTAGTAGTGGTTAGTAATTGGTTAGATGTTAGTTGGTTGCTATTAGTTGGTGAGTATGATTGTCCATGGGTGTTTCTTAAGCCATGGGGGACCCCAAAATCATCCAAGATCGTTTCATAACGGGCAAAGCCAATGGTTTGGGGTCCTCATATTTTAGGACCCCCCAGCTGGTTATTGCTGGGATATTCCAAGTTGACTCTCAGGTTTTTTTTCCTGAAAAGACGTGGCCAGTCGTTTGCAAGCAGGAATGTGTTTCTATGTGTTTCTGAGTGGGATGTTTGGGGGTATGATTGGTGACTATTCCTTGATGATTCCTGCAGAGTTTTTATGTTAGTCTTGATGATTTCTCTTTCTTCGGATTGAAGTGGGGGATATTTACGGGATGTTTACAAGGAACTGGTGGGATATTAGTGCGATATAATGATACCACCAACAAGATGCTGGGTGTTTGTTGAAAATGCGGGATTTGACCATCGATAGGGATAAAAAATGTGGAGATCATGGGATATACCCTCTGGTTATGTCAAAGAGCTATTGAAAATGGCCATTTATAGTTGATATACCCATAAAAAATGGTGATTTTCTATAGTTATGTTTGTTTACCGGAGGGTATTCAAATAATATTTGGGTATGTCTTAAAATGGGAATACCACCAAATCAGCATTTTTGTTTGCAGATTAACGCATGGATGGAATGAGGTAGCCTAGTATCAGACAAACCCAAATGGGGGAGTTAGATCACATAGTTCACCAAAGATTGTTTTGTTGAGTTGTTCAAAACACTGTAAACATGGGGCCTCCACAATGACCCTTTCTGATATTACATTTTGCTTGTATTTATGTAGGTTTCCTGAAATGGGGGGGTACCCCCAAATCATGCATTTTAATAGGATTTTCACGGATTTTCCATTATAAACCATCCATTTTTGGTTACCCCCATTTATGGAAACCTCCATATATATATAATATTATATATGTATTTAAGCATCCAAAAATGAGAATCTTACTATCAATAACAGGGCAAATGGGTTTATAAGTCAAGCCATTCAGGTTCCAACGTACTCGCTTAAAGCTGGCAATCTGTAGTACTGAACCATGATGTGGGTACCAGATACCTGCACCTCCCAGGAAACCAGATAACAAAATTTGCTCACAGGTATCTGGTTTCATTTTTTTTCCTATCTGGTATATGTTATTTTTCTTTCCTGGCCGTATACCTGTGGGCCTGGCAAATGATGGCAACCTGACTAGCCGACCTCACCATCGGTGGCGGATACAGCATCGTCTGGGGATGTCTGGGGAATATCGTGAAAGGCGTTAAAAAATCTCATCGTGGGTGCAGCTTGAGCAACAAATATTGCCATTCCAGGGGGGTCAGATCTTTAGGTTCCATTGATTTCCATTGCATGTTTTTTCACTTGGTGTTTTCTGTCCACCAATCATCTGCCTTTCCTCATCTTTCCTCTTTGGCGAGCTCCTGAAAAAAGTTGGTCCGGTCACCCAGCTGGGAGGATGGAGGATGGGGTCAAAACGATGAACTCGTACTGGGAGGTCACTAGGTTTGTCCAAAATTGGGGGATTTACGTGGATTTAGTTCATTGTAGTCTTGATGGGGTGCCCAATTTTTAGACAAACCCACTTTCTCCTTCCAAAGCTTTGACTTGGCAAGAGTTTGCAATGTTGCTTCTGCCTCAAGTTTCAGAACTTTGTAAGGCACACAATCGAACACCAAAACCATGCGTCTTCGCACCCTTCACCTCCGCCGTTGGTTCAAGCGGCCAAGCCAGCGGCACGATTTCTCAGTGTGTGACCATCGGTCATGAGGTTTGCCTTCTCAATCCTTCTATTTCCCCTCGCGGCATCCCTTCGTGAGAAGGACGCCAGCGATGTGTCACACGTGTCACACGTGTCACACGTGTCCCTGTCCGAGCCAGATGGAGTTCCTCAAGTGATGGAAAACGGTGGCTTTACGGAGACCTGGATGTGTAGGGGTATGATGGAAATGTTTCGGAGATATAACATGGAGATATATGGTTATATAATGTTATATTGTAGGGATATGATGGATGCAACTATTATAATTACAACCAACAATAAGACAACTGTGTTTGTAAACGGGAGATATTTACCCCCGTATTCCCCCCAAATGGTGCTTCATCATGTAAAATTATGAAACAAGCGCTAGGTTTTGGGTACCCCATTTTCATACATAAACCAATCCTGATGTTTCCAAGGAAAAGGATGCAGCAAGCATTGCTCTGTGGATCATGGGGTGCTACAACAGCGAATTGGAGATGTTTTCAAAATGCATCGCGGACGAGTGCAACAAGCATTTGGAAAGAAAAGGCTACCAAGCTATGGTCTTTACTGGAAGTCTTGGTCACTCTGCTGTTCAAAGTAGTTTTTTTTAAGTGTTTTGTTTTTATGTGTTCAGTTTGACACTGATGATTTTCGGTGATGCAGAAGCTCAATTGATTCAATTGCCCCCCAGGTACGTCTCTCCTGTACTTCCAAGAACACGTGCGACTAAAGTGGGGAAAATTCGCGGTGAAAGTTTTCCGCCTTGCGGGCCAAATACCTATCACCCGCATTGGCGATCCGCTATGAGATGTCGTCATCTCCGACTCTCCCCCGGAATCCGTCCAGCGAGCCGCCAGAAAGATGGTGAGATTGACAACATATGAACCTAATGACCTAATGATGACATTCCAGATATAATATCCAATTAGTTAGTGAACTTAATCAGTGATTGATATGATGACCTAATTCACTAATATCCAATGCACCTTACAGACATTCCAGACATTGCTTTGGCTCGTTTGGCGCAATCAAAGGGCGCGTGGCGGCACGTGTTGACACGTCGGATTCCTTCAGACTTTGACTGACTGCCAATCTTCGCTTGACTTGTGGAATCCTGTGGAAATGTGTTGAATCTAAATTGGATTTAACTTTAATAATCAATTTAGAACCCTCAGACTTGACTGCTGCTCACAGTCTCAAAATTGCTTCAAGGGGACATCTAAAACCATGGTTTCCGGTCCATTTCCGGTTGAGATTGTCCCTTGAACCCATCCGTTGATCGCAGAGGAATCCTGAAGAGCTTAGAGCATTTCCACAGGGCATTCTGAAAGAGTCCAAACATTTCAGCATAGCTTTGTCCAGAAACAGTGACGCAGTACCAGATACGGCTCAAATCCGTGAAAGCCCAATGTTATAATGTTTAACATTTTGAAATCCGGATTCCACCTTTTATGAAGAAAGCATGTCAAAAGGTTTGCAAATAGCATGACGTGATGCGATTTGCAAAGGTCTTGTAATCACCATTCCCATGTCCGGATATGAAGAAATCAAATTTCCGGAAGTTGGGAAACGGACACCCTTGTTTGTGACTCAATGTAGCTGAAAAGCCTTCACAAGCAATGCTATACAGAACCTTCCAGCAGTGTTGCGGATTGCAGCCAACTTTTTTTTTGACAACCATTCAGCTTGAGAACATTGTCATTGGCATTTACTGTAATTAATCAGAATTTTAATCATATTTATATTTGTCCGCCTAATATTAAACACCCCCTTAGAAACCATGGTTTAGTAGGGAATTTCCACATAATTGGGACCATTTATGGGGTTGTTTAATATTAGGGTGATGGAATTAGATGATACTCCGAAACTTCTGCAGGCTGACACTTCGCCAAGCCCAGGTCCTAAAGCTGGACACCCTCCGGTGTCCTCGAGTTCGTGGCTCGGAAAGCCCCGGAAAATTCTACGGAAACCATATGGAAAACCATAGGAGAAATGGGATATCCCCTTTACTTTAAATGGAGGTTTTTTGCTGGGAACATCATTTTAATACATTTTAAGTGATGGATTTTCCAGCACGCCATGTTTCATGGTTTCATACTTCAACTCGCCAAAACTGGTGTGGTTGTGGGTCTTATATTGGGATCCTTTCAGCCGTATGAATGCTCACGATCTCTGTTGGTTGATTTTAAAGTATCCCACTTTGTTCAAAGGTGGATTACCCTCTGGCAAACTAACATAACACTATAGCTATGGAAAATCACCATGTTTAATGGGTAAATCAACTATTTCGACCGGGCCATTTTCAATAGCAAACTGTTAGTTTACCAGGCCGGGTATCATCTTAGGAATTCTGAGGATATTTTGCCATGCAACAATCCACATCAATCCACCATTTAAGTTGAATCTACTGGGCAAAAAAAACCACTCATCCAGGCAGGGATCCCTCACCTGAAGATGGACAGCTTACCATATTTTACCTACAAAAAGGGGGGTTTCTGGGAGGAAAATACGGTAATACCCTGTATTCAAACACATCCAGGTGGACAGGGTACCAGCCTTCCCTCCCTGCAGAAACCGCTGAGAGCGGCACCACAGCCACCACGGCCACCGCGGCCACGGCCACCACAGCGGCCACGGCTGCAGTTAGCACCACCACTGCGCCTGGCATGGCGGTGGCTTGGAGGCATTATGCATGAAGTGCCATGAAATGTTGGCCTTATGACAGAACATCTCTGGGGGATTTATATGGATTTGGTATGATTTGGTGTTTTTTATGTATCAATTTGTAGGATTTGATATGGATGACTATTTGATGTGATCGAATATTGTTCAGGGCGAAACCACCGAGCAGAGCAGAAAACAAAGTCCTCAGAGCCGCAGGGTGTACGACTTTGACACACAAGGTTAGGCGCCATTTGATGGTTGTAGGTGGTTCTGGCAGGTTGTGGTGTCATCCGTCATGTGGTACATCATCTGCTAGAAACAACTTCAGACTCATCAGACATCTGGATGTCTCCAACCATACCCCGGGGACTCAGGTGCTCAAAACAGACTTCCTGAAGATTGCAGTGATGGAGGATGGAAGTCTCCTGCAGAAACCCACAAGATGTTGCGTTATCAATCGCGACCCCGTGTAATTCCCAAGGTCCACTAACATGGGGGCGTCACAACTGGCTTCCTACCTGCAATATGGCCAGTCCAGTTTCCTTGATTTTCTTCGTATTTTTAAAAGTCTTGTGCCATGCTAAAATTCCGTCATACTAAGTCATACTATGTCCAAAAATAGGGCAAACCCAACAAGACCATACAAATATACAAGACCACCTCCAGGGAAAGCATGGGAATCCTGAATTTTTCCATGTGACACGGGCGTTTCCATTCCCCAAATCATCCAACATACAGAAGAAACCCATGGGTGACGTTTTAGGTACCCCAAGTTTCGATCCAACTCCCTGGTTTCTTTGTCCTCACTTTCACGGGCCAAGAGTTAGCCTCTGGTAATAGTTAACACTTTGCTATTGAAAATGGCCCAGTCGAAATAGTTGATTTACCCAGCTATAAAATGGTGATTTTCTTATATTTTCTATAGTTATGTTAGTTTACCAGAGGGTAGCGAACTCGTTGCCCACTCTTGCTCGGTTCTTCATGGACTTATCCAATGCTAAACACCTGTTTTGGAGCGGCGTATTCTGCGGGGCTTGTTGCCATCGGCGTGCTTATGTACATGTATCACAAATTTCTTATGGTCCTACACCAAGACAATGTGGGATTGTTTTTCCCTATTGTGCTCCACGAATGTTGTAGACCAATTATATATCTACGTGCATGATCGTGCATGTTCATACACTTCATCTTATTCCCATCCCCCCAACTTTGTACAGTAACATTGGTTTACCAATTTCTACAGAAAATCGCAGACCCAATTGGTTACCTCTTATTCTTTTCAAGTGTTCCCCTTTAGCGTTTGCCGAGGCTTGGGGCAGCCCTTCTACTTTAGCTCCCAGCGCGCACCCCACCTCGACCTGGGTACAGGGCAGGTGGAGAATCAGCAAGGAGGCTGGACCAAGCTGACCTATGGCAACAAGCAGCTGGACTCTGCCATCAAGGCACCTTCCAGAGATTGACACGCCGAGATTTTTTCTTTGTGGTCGGGCTTGGGCTTGGATGGGGGAGAGATCGTTGGATATTTGTTGGATGGGTTCCAAATGATTTTTTTTTGTGGAATCTGTGGAGTCTGGAGTAGGTTATAGAATGATGGATTCAAGGATTGATTTCTAGCTTGTGGCTCTGAAGAATGTAACCCAAGTATAGATCATATTCTGGGACAGATTTAACAATTCATCTATATATATATATATCCACTCCAACTCCACTGGAAAGCTTGGTGGAATGTTGGTGGTTTTGTCAATGAACGGGTTCCATGGAGGTGACAAATTCACCAAAAATCATTGGGTCGATGACCTTCAATTGACTGATATCCAAATGAAAGGATCCAAAACAATAACTGCTTGGTGGTTTAGAACATGACTGGATTCTTTTCCCCTTCCTAGTTGGGATGATGATCCAATCTGACGAACTCCATCATTTTTCAGGGGGGTAGGTATACCACCAACCAGATAAAACTGTAAGACTGTTCTTATTTATTTGTTGTTTCTGTGTCTACATTTTTATCTTCATTGATGTGTATACACATATGATATATATAATATTATGATATATATAATTATACCCTATGGATCCAAACACTGTCTGAGAAGGTACTTAAGCCTCCAAATTATAGTAAATTATACCCCAAACACTTCCTAAGAAGGTACTTGGATCCATAGGGATATATATTGATATATTATGTATTATAGTTCCACACATCTTTGCAGCAAAACATGCCTGCCTGGCATCTGCCGCCGAAAAATCTCGGGCAGGTGGATGGACATCTGGCGCATCTCAGCGGTGGCTCGGCGAGCTCGGCGAGTTCGGCAGGGCAGGAAAGCCAGAAAGTTTGGCTGGAATTTGTACAGCAAATTGCCACTTTATATCACTATATAAAGATATAACTATTATATATCTGGAATATTAACAAATTATGTATATAGTTATATCATTAGTTATGTTCTATTATATATAACTATATACATAATTATATATATGTAACCAGCGGGAGTTAACTTTATTCAGGAGTTTACGAATCCCATGTCAAGAATATATGTCTTTCATAGAGAAGACTGAGGATAAACCAGTGATTTTAATGGCCTTGCGGTCGTGGCCGTTCTTTTTTTGACATGACGGGAGAATTAAATGATATATTTTTGTTAGTGGAGGATACTTCCCTTTGTTGGTACAGTATTCTGTTTTCACGTCAGGATACGGCAAAGTGACCATGGTTTATCAGGGAATTTACCATGGAATTTACAAATATATTAGGGACCATTTGGGGTGTTATTAAATTAATATTAAGGGGATGGGATTATTCCCGAGAGCGTGGGGGTCTGTCAAACATCTTCTCATCTTCACATCTTCTCAGCGTAAATCGAATTCTATTCTATCATTTGACAGTGAGGGCCAGCTCCTTGGTCCCTGACAAGAAGCCCGCATTTCGCCACAATTTCCTGAAATTTAAAGACGGATTCAAAATGTTAATCTGGTGCAATTCATGTGACAAGTGTAAGGGCAGGAACGGATGGAAGGGGTATTCGGAGTATTCGAGTGCCACACGACAGATCTCACGGAAATGCACTCCCATCACAGAACATGGTGACTTCCACGCAGCCAAAAGGTGGAATCCTTTGACTTCCAAAACTGAAAATGAGTTGAAGGAATTCGTCGCCAACAAGCACATTTTACGACCCAAGATCTAGTCAAAATTGTTGAAAAGCATCAGCCAGGGCGTCCTAGTGACGACTGGTTGCGCAGATGGGGCAAGAACCACCGGGTACACAAGGGCACGCCTATAGCAATCGATGCTCCGCCTATGCATGGGTCGAAGCCGACGGGAAACAGGTAGAACGGGACTTTGGTTTGATAGAGGGAATGGAAGGTGTGCCAAATGCTTTGAAAATAGCTTCCGCCACATATGAACCCAGTGCCACTGTGATAAGCTTTTGCAATCCTGCATTGTTGAAGGAAACCGTAGACAAGCTGGCCAACAAGGATTATGTCAAGCTGTGTGGCGATGGAACTTTTCGCCTTACAAACGGTGATTGGGTTTTCTTGACCGTTGGTGCATTAACAAAGCATTACAGTGAAGGGGACGGTATCAAGGCGTTTCGCACGAAATTCAACCCCTTGATGTTTGCGTTGACCAACAAAGAAAGCCAGCCAACGTACCAGCATTTCTTCGATGCTTTAGTGAACTGTACTTCTAAGCTGACAGGCGTAGATCTGACCCAGGTTTGCCAGCAGTACCATGCTGACCTCCATCCTGGCGAGGACTTGGCGCAAAAAGCCGTTTTCCAACACGCAGACCGTGTGGCCGACTGGGCGCACGTCATTGGAGCCTGCGTCAGATCGAAGCAGCGAAAGCAAGATCATCCAGTGTCAGGAAGGATTGCTGCATACAGGGCGGGTGTGTTTGCCAGCATGAAAAAGCATTTGAGCCCAGCCGGCCAAGCGCTAGTGCCTTTGATTGAGCGGGCGTTGCATTGCATGCGGTCGCTGCCCACAGCGTTACTTTTCCACATGGTGGCAGACTTGCTATTGAGGACGCTTGTGGCGCAGCAGCCGAGTGAAAAAAAAGCTGCCGATATGCTAAAGCAACATTATTTGGCAAAAGTGGCTGCAGTAAGAGCTCAAGCAGAGTTCAGCATCAACGAATGGCCAGGGGACGCATCCTTTCTTTTTGCAGCGGATTGGTGGGCAGGACTCCAGCGTCTCCAACCTGCTTCTGCGTCCGGAAGGCAGGCCCAAGAATCATGGCATAAAAACAAGCTAAAAAACTATTTCAAAAATTTAGATTCAAGTCTGCCATCATTTGCAAGCCTCCTATGAGCAGTTTTCACAATCTCGTCTAAGTGATATGCGAGCGACCAGGGGAAACTCTGCCTGTTTTTTTTGCTCCAGTTCTTATTTGGCAAAGTTTTTGTTCATCGAATTGGTAATACATTTCAGTCTGTATGTAGCGTGATTTTCGTAGTTGTAACAGTGACATCAGGTTTGTGGTTCAAAGTTTTTTTTTTTCGGTTGTTGTTTGTTAGGTGTGTTGTCTTGTGTGAAGACGTGCTTTCACCGGTGTGGGTTCTCAGAGATACGGTCGTGTTAGTGTCGCTTTCGGCGTCAATCGAACTTCGTGATTGCCTGGAATTTTTTGTTTGGATGTTGATGCGCTTGCATTTACCAGATGAGCGAGAAGCAGTATGGTTTTCATTTGTTTGATGCGTTATAATGCGAGTGTTTATGTGTCAATATTGGTTGGTTTAAGTAAGGGAGATGTCGACATCAGACATGTGGCTTGTTCATTTTTGTGCCTTTGTTTGCTGTTCTTGTTGCAGGTTGTTCTGTATTTCATCTTGCCAGAGCATGAGATGTATTGCGGTGGTCTTCAAAAAAAGAAGTTCTACGCTCGAAGTTCATTTTGCCGCTGTGTGCGAAGAGTCTTGTAGTACAAACCAGTTTGTTTTTTGTGCTTGTTTCGTTTGGGCTATGGCCGTTTGCTTTGATTTGCCGTTTGTCGTCATTTTGCACCATGGTTCAAATTGGAGCAGGTTAACGACGGTATTGGTAAATTAGTCGAATAGAGATAGATAGATATATATATATATTTATATTTATACAGATCTACATCCTTGCATTCGAATGTCATGTTTGTCGGAACCCAAGGAAATCCTGGCGGTAAATAAACAAAATCAACAGCATTGGTTGTTTGCGATTGTGTCTATTTCTGAATATCTGAGACAAAGCCTTTTCTTCGTGTGCGGTCATGCCTCGACAATGCAGGGGCCGGTCTGCAGAAGAGCCATGCATCTTTGCGGCCTCGAGGGTGGCCGTGGTAGCCAAAGCGTGGTAACCGAAGTTTTTTTTTCTTGTCTTGAGTTGTTGCAGGAAGTTTGCGTAAAGCAAGGCATGACTGCACACGAAGAAAAAGCTTTGTCTCAGATTTTCAGAAATGGACGCAATCGCAAACAACCAATGCTTGATTTTAGCGGAGCCATGCATCTTTTGGGCTTCGAGGGTGGCCGTCGCAGTCAAAGCGTGGCAACCAGAGATGCTTGCTGTGTTCATTTGAACTGTTGCAGGAGGTTTGCGTAAAACACCGTGGGCGAAGGCGGTTGGTACAGCAGCTCAGGAGCGATCCAGAAGTTCAAGGTGCTGGCTCTTCGGCACTTCAATAGTAGCAAATATATATATATGTCAATTGTTATCTAGGAAGGTTTCTGCAGCTGTAGCGGTGAAGTTTGTGTTTCAAAGTGGTTGTTTGTTGTTGCAGTTGCCTTTCCTGTCAGGTGTGTTGCATTGTGCGAGGACGCTTTTTTTCACTCGTGTGTGCCCTCAGAGAGGCGGTCGTGTTGCTGTTGCTTTTCAAATGAACTATTTTTTTCTCATTTTACAACGAGGGGTCGATCCCCTCTAGGGGAAATTCCGCCTCCCTTTTTATTGTTGGTCGGTGCAGCGGTAGTATATAGATGGCAATCCTCATCTAGGACGATTTCTTTTTAGCAGTAGTAGTGTCGTTGGGGTTATTGTTTCAAAGTGTTTGTTTGTTCTTGCAAATGACTTTCCTGTCAGGTGCGTTGCATTGTGTGAGGACGTTTTTTCACTTGTAAGGCCCTCAGAGACGCAGTCGTGTTGGTGTGAGGCTTCTTGCGTGAATCGAATCTAGTCATTTTACGGTGGGGGGTCGATCCCCTCTAGGGGAAACTCTGCTTGTTTTTTCCTCAATATTTTTTCAGTTTCTTGTCAGTGCAGCGGTAGTCCCTAAATGGAAATTGCTACCTGGGAAGGTTTCTGCTTTTGTGTTCGTCATGTTTGGGTTATTGTTTCAAAGTTTTTGTTTGTTGTTGCAGGTGCCTTTCCTGTCAGGTGCATTGCATTGTGTGAGGACGTTTTTTTATATAACTCGTGTGGACCCTCAGTGATGTGGTCGTGTTGGTGTGGCTTATTGAGTGAACCAATTTTTCTTGGTCATTTTGCAACGAAGGGTCGGTGACCTGCTTGTTGTTGCCGTTGACTTTATTGTCAGATGTGTTGCTTTGAGTGAAGAAGTATTTTCGTTGGTGGAGTCTCTCAAAGACGCGGTCTTTTTGGTGTGTTTTTTTGTGTAAATAGAATCCTCTGATTTATGTTCTCAAGTGCTGTTTTTCTTGCTGGCGTTGCCTGTGTTCTTGCGTTTTTTCAATAGTTTCGCGTTGGGCGACGACTGTTCTTTCGCCGACTCGGGCCCTCAGTTTGGTTATTTGTTTCATGCGTGTGTCTGTAGATGTAAATCGTTTTTGTCGCAATGAGGCCAGGGCTCTTTCTATAGGGTCAACTGCGACCGTTTTTCCACGCGTGTTTTTTTTGGCATTGTAGTTGCAGACACTAAAGAGGTACTGAATGTCAACAAGCATGTAGCATGGTCTTTTGGCGCAGCCAATCAGAATGTAGCCCGGTTGTATTTGCAACAGTCTTATAGGTGGTTGTTTTTCTTTTAAATTTTGTGCTTTTGATTGTTGTTCTTTCTGCTTGCGCTTGGACGTGTGCCGTGAGCGAAGAATGGCCTTCGTCGGCGGAAGCTCTCAGAGACGCGATCGTCAAGTTGGAGCGTTGCCATTTTTTTTTTCGGATCAAGATGCGGTCGTCTGCAGGGGAAACCAGGGTCTTCTTTTCTTGCATAAGTGGGTGTCAGATCCGATTTGTTTCTTTGCTCGTGCATTAGTTCCAGATTTGCACTTGCGCGCCCAGGTTAAATATTATTTGAGCAGTTCTGATTGCTCGGGAGTTCGGCTTAAATATCTGTCCTGCACGAGGCAAAGATCGAACGCAGCTTGGTTGTTTATGTTGGTGGCTTCATGCATGAAGGACCCTTAACCAGAAAGAATCGTAAAGCTTGCAGACGAGCGAAGAGACGTCGATCCTAAAGTTGATACAGGAGCACTTGTTCTATACACAAAGTGTATTCAGAAAGATGTTTGTTTGTTTTTTCTTTGCGTCTGGATGACATCTGCGGCGTCATGCAAAACCGCGGCCTGAGGCGTTTGACAGATGGTGAAGAAAAATAAGCCGTGTGAAGCATGTCATTCTTTTTGCGAGTTAGCAGGACATTATAGGTGGGAAAGCTCTGAAGCTGTCTTGAAAACACGAATTTGTAAAGGACGCTGGTGGAGCTGTGCGTTAGTCATCATACTTTGATTGTGCAGGCACTGGCTGTTGGTGGCATCAATCAATGTGTCTTTGTTGTCTGGAAGATGTCGATTTCGACGGAGGTCAGCGCTTTGGCGTTGTCTTGCTGGATTGCTACGCCATGAGGGCTTGGAGTGCTGCAAAATGATCCAAGATGATTTTTTCCTGTAGCTGGGGTGGTGCATGGATAATAACGATCAGCAGCTTGAAGGCTGTGAGCGGTGCAAAATTTTCCTGGCCTGCAGCTTGGGTGGTACATGGGTAACCACGATAAACACCATGGGGGTTTCGGCCGCTGCAAGATGATGCTTGCCTCTGGCTGAGTAGGTCAGGTGGTAGATGGATAACCAGCATAATAAACATCATCTTGCCGAATGATTTCTGGTCGATCGAGAATAAAGTTCGACAGACATCATGAGGGCTTTGATTGCTGGAAGATATGCTTGCGTCTGGCTGGGCGGGCCAGGGTGGTAGATGCGCAACCACGGTAAACACCATCTTTGCAAATGATTGAGTTTAGCCTAATGTGTGTTTGCGGCTGGGG